AGTTCCAGACTGTACAGTGAAAAAATCCTGTCATAAACTAAAATTTATGTCTGAACGTTTGAGAAATTTTTTTTTTAAATCTTGGGGAACATAACCATAGCTAAAATCTAGTGAAATCTTTTCCCATGACTCAGAATACCGATTAATTTTACTTTCTTGAGATGTTTTTGCAAATTTAAATGTGATATTTCTTAAATTGCAGTAATTTAGAATATTACAATGGCTAATTTTGGGAATTTCTGGGAATGTATAACTTGTTAATTTACTGAGACAGTGAATGCTAGACCTTTTAATGTTGTTAATTTTGTTACACTTTTTCCAGGGTGGTCTTGCCCCATTTTTTCTAACAAGATACCTGGTTAGCAGCGGTCTGGCTAAGAAGCCCTCACCCTTTTCCTTGCGTCATGGGGGCTTCCTTCAGGTGAGGCAGGCAGACAGCAGCTCCCCTGGCAGCTTTGCGGGCAGAGGGTAGTTAGCTGAGACAATTAAAGACGTTTGTCTAGAGGGTACTGGGCATAGTGGGTAAAGCTGTCCACTGCAGCAGTGGAATTCTGCTTGGGCACTGATTCGAGTAGCAGCAACTCCACTTGTAGTCCAGCTCCTGATGGCCCAAGTGTTTGGGCCCCTGCATCCAGGCTGAGGACCCAAAGCAGCTTGTGACTTCTGCCCGGTCCAGTCCTTGCCATTGAGGCCATCTGGGGAGTAAACCAGCAGATGGAAGATCTTTGTCTCTCTTACTATCTAATTGTATCTTTCGAATAAAGTCTTTTAAAAAGATTTACTTATTTTCATGGGAATTTACTATTTTCAGAGATTTACTATGTACAAATCATAGCAAGTTACAGGGCTGGCACCATGGCATTGCACATTAAACTTCCACCAATGGCATTGGCATTCCCTATGGGCACCAGTTTGAGTCCTGGAGCTCCATTTCTGGTCTAGCTCCCTGCTAATAGCGTGGGGAGACAATGCAAGATGGCTCAGGGTGTTTCCCTGTAGCTATGTGGGAGACTTGGAAGAAGCTCCAGGCTCTTGGCTTTGGACTGTCCCATCCCTGGCTATTGTAACCATTCGGGGAGTGAACCATGAAGATTTCTCCCTCTCCCCGGCCTTCTACCCCCCTTCCCCTCATTCCAGGCTGCTATTGTGCCAGGCTCGAAATTCATTTTAAGACTTGATTGGCTTATAGACCGTTTGCACTGTTGCATATTTTATCATGTACATGTGCTTTTTAAAAATTCATGCCCAGTGATGATTGGATACTTAAGTTTTATATTAAGTATCATTTACAGTAGCATTAAAAATGATGAAATGATTATGTCTAATACATGCACGATGTGTATTCTGAAAGCTATGAGGTTATGGAAGCTATTCCATTAATGAATGAAAACAGGTCTTTATTAGTGAAAAGAAATTGTGTTCATGAATCTGCAGATTCATTTCTCCCTAAACCGATATATGGACTTTACAGAAATCCAGCAGAAGTTTCTGCAGAGTTTTTCATAGAGCCTGCTAATTTTATGACCCTGGGTTAATCAGATATTTTCTTTTTTTGTTTAATTTTTATAAAGCAGTTAAGCCTTTTTCCAGTGTGATTGTGACACTGTATATTTCAGCAGTCGTGTAAGAGTTTCTCTACATGTTCGTCAGCCTTGGTATTATGATTTTGAATTTAGCCATTCTGAGTGTAAATGGCTGAATTCTGAATGTGCAGCAGGATGTCACAGTTTTTGTGATGACTAAAGATATTGACATTTTAATGCATATATTCGTATTTTTCTGGTAAAATGTTCATATCATACTTTTGATATTGGATTTCTTCACTGATTTAATGGAAGATTTTTTTTTAAGAATTGTATTTACAACCTTTTATCCAGGTATATCATTGCAAATATTTTCTTAGTGGCTTTTTAAAAGAACTTATTTATGGGCCTGGCTGCATGGCCTAGCGGCTAAAGTCCCCTCACCTTGTACGTGCCAGGATCCCATATGGGCACCGGTTCTAATCCTGGCAGCTCCACTTCCCATCCAGCTCCCTGCTTGTGGCCTGGGAAAGCAGTCGAGGACGGCCCAAAGCTTTGGGACCCTGCACCCATGTGGGATACCTGGAAGAGGTTCCTGGATCCTGCCTTTGGATCGGCATAGCATCCGGCCGTTGCACTCACTTGGGGAGTGAATCATCAGACGGAAGATCTTCCTCTCTGTCTCTCCTCCTCTCTGTATATCTGACTTTCCAATAAATAAATAAATCTTAAAAGAAAAAAAGAACTTATTTATTTGAAATGCAAAATTACAGAGGGATCGAGATCAACCCAAAGGGCTCTTTGATCCACTGTTTCACTCCCCTCACTCGGGACTGATGAAGGCTGGAGCCCAGAGCTGCTTCCAGGTCTCACATGGATGAGGAGCCCAAGCACATGGGCTGGCTTCTGCTTTCCCAGGTGCACCAGCAGTAGCAGGGAGCTTTGTAAGAGGAGCAGCTGGGACCTGAATCAACACTCAGGGGATGGCACCTTCACCCATTCTGGCACAGTAGTGGCCCTCCTTTTAGTTTTTTAATATCTTAGCTGTTATTTGGAAATGTGATTATTTTGAATTAATTTTTGAGTATGTTATAAACTAAGGGCCTAAGTCCCCCATTTCACATTAGATACACTGCCACCAGCTCACTTGTCTAAGAGCATAAATGTTCTGCATGCCTGTACTTTTGATGGTACCACATTTGCTGTGATCGTGGCTTTTCAGTTAAAAAAAAAAAAGAGTCCTTCAACTTTGTTTTCTAGAATTAATGAGACATTTTTTTGTCTGTATTTTTGAAGGTCCTGGTCTTCTCTTTTTTTGATGATGCTGTTTACATAGCTGATTAGGTGGGAAGGGTCGAGGACTAGGGGAAAGTGGGCGAGACCGTTGTTACCAAATTTTCTTTTCCTTCTTGTGTCTGATGGAATGGGTTGACAAGCGAAGCCACACCCAGCCTACCACCTGCCCCAGCACCTGGGTGTGGGGAAAGGACACCTGGCCCATCCCAGGGTCCCCGATGGTGGAGCATGTCCTGAAAAAAAAACATCTACCCAGGTGGTTTTGAAAATTCTGAAATGCTGTCTGTCTTGCCGCCAAGGGTGAGGAAATATTTCCAAGGTCCGTTGGCTGACATAGTCCACCCCAGAGCCTCCATTCAGATATTTGCTGTCAGCACTTGGTTGGGATAATTGGGTTTTGGTGTATTTTGTGTGGTGTGTTTGTGTCTAGTTTTGGTATTAGGGTAGTTACTAGACTTCGTGTGTTGGTATTTTCCTTTATATTCATGCATTACATGTCCTTAATAAACCTAATTGTATTTGCTGAAATTTACCAGTGGCAGCATTTAGCCCTGAAATGTTCTTTTAAGGAAAAATTTGATTCTTTCTTAGCTTCTTGTTATATTTCTTTTTGGATTTTAAAACAATCTCTTGGGATTTGGGGGGGGGGTGTTTCTTTCCAGAAATTTGTTCATTTCATCCAACTTCTTGTGTATTCTTTTATTCCTGATTTGCTAATTTTTCTTTTTAATTCTATCTTGGGTTTGTCAAACTTTCTGATCTTTTTCATCAGCCAGCACTTAATTTTTTTCCTGTTTTATTAATTTCTAGCCTGTATCCTGTATGTTATACTATTTAGCTTGGGCTTACCTTGCTGTCTTCATATTAAAGTGAAAGTTTAGGTTATTAACTTCAGGTCTTAGTTTCTGAAAGATACTTGAGGCGATCCATTTTCTTAACAGTGGTTTAGAAGATTTTGGTGTTTTATTTTTTATAAAGTAAATGTTTACTCTGCAGCAGTGTTTGATTGTTGAGTTACTTATGTATGTGTTTAATTTCCAAGTAATTTAGGATTTTCCTGGGTTTTTTTGTTTTTTTGGTATAATTTTTGTTCTGGTCACAGAACATTCTCTGTATGGCTTATGAGAAGAAAGTTAGTGCTTTGGGTTAGTTAGTTATTACTGGGCTTGTCAGCCCAGGAGCACTTGTTGCTTTGGGGAGTAGGAATGGAAATGGGGACTGGACAGGTCCTCCCCACCCCTTTTTTTCTCTTGTTCATAAGGTAAGGTCATTTATAATTTGTATCGTGTCGGGAGCATGCATTACATTGTTGCACACTTGTGGTTTCTGACTATGAGAATTTTGAACTCTGTCACAGGAATTGGAGCCCAAGAGTAGGCACTGGGAGCGAGCGGTCCGAGTTCCTAGTCTGGGTACCTGCATCTTGTATCTAAGTGATCCACTCAAGTCCTGGCTATTCCACTTCTCACTGAGCTTCTTCTTACTGCACTCCTAGTGGGCAGCAGATGGTGGCCCGTGGATTTGGGTCCGTGCCACTTCAGTGGGATCCCCTGGCTCTAGCCTGGCCTATCCCTGCTCAATCAGTGGATAGAAGATCTTGTTCTGTATTTCTCTTTCTTGAATAAAACAGAATAAAAAGAATTGGAGTCCAGTATTCACTATTTTTCCCCCCTCCATGAGTTTAAATGCAATTCTCATTTGTATTTTTATTTTTTCAGGGATGAATTTGAGTTCAGTAGCACTCCCTCCATTTTTAACAGTAACTGTCTTTTTAACATCTTTCCTTAGAGTCTATACGCAGAAGTGAGTTTATTACGTGTCTTTTGTGATGATGCTGCACTAATGGACTGTTTTATGAATGAAGGGATTCAGTTCAGTCTCTGGCTCTAGCACAGAGTACTCATGATTTTGTTAGTCTGTGGCCTCATCTGTGCTTCTGATCTGGAGAACTGGACTGATCTGGAGAAGGCTGCCCTAGAGCACAGACTCGGAGTCAGGGAGGATCTGCTATGAGATAAGGTTGTGGGGAAGTATGATGTGGAAAGAAAAAGAACTATTGTAAGAAAATCTTTGGTGACTTAAACCCATCAAATTTGATGGATTCATGTCATCTGAATTCCAGTAATAGGAAACCCTCAATGTTGCTATACTAAAAAGTCTTTGCTTTCCTCCTGTTCTTAGGACATTTACTGCAAGATCCTATTGCGCCTACCAACTCCACCTGCCAACACTATGTCTGCAAAACTTGCAAAGGCAAGAAGATGATGATGAAGCCTTCCTGCAGCTGGTGCAAAGACTATGAGCAGTTTGAGGAGAACAAGCAGTTAAGCATCCTAGTGAACTGCTACAAAAAGCTCTGCGAATATATAACACAGACCACACTGGCACGAGATATAATAGAAGCGGTTGACTGTTCTTCTGACATTCTGGCCTTGCTTAATGATGGATCACTGTTTTGTGAGGAGACCGAAAAACCCTCAGATTCATCCTTCACTTTGTGTTTGACACATTCCCCATTACCTTCAACTTCAGAACCCACGGCTGACCCTCCAGCAAGTTTATCTCCGATGTCTGAAAGCACCCTCAGTATTGCTATTGGCAGTTCTGTTATCAATGGTTTGCCTGCTTACAATGGGCTTTCAATAGATAGGTTTGGTATAAATATTCCTTCACCTGAACATTCAAATACAACTGACGTGTGTAACACTGTTGATATCAAAACTGAGGATCTCTCTGACAGCCTGCCGCCTGTCTGTGACGCAGTAGCCACTGACCTGTGCCCCGCAGGCATTGATATCTGCAGTTTCAGCGAGGACATCAAGCCTGGTGACTCTCTCCTACTGAGTGTTGAGGAAGTGCTACGCAGCTTAGAAACTGTTTCAAATACAGAAGTTTGTTGCCCAAATTTGCAGCCCAACTTGGAAGCCACTGTATCCAATGGACCTTTTTTGCAGCTTTCTTCCCAGTCGCTTAGCCATAATGTTTTTATGTCCACCAGTCCTGCACTTCATGGATTATCATGTACAGCAGCAACTCCGAAGGTAGCAAAATTGAATAGGAAACGATCCAGATCCGAAAGCGACAGTGAGAAAGTTCAGCCACTTCCAATTTCTACCATTATCCGCGGCCCAACATTGGGAGCATCTGCTCCTGTGACAGTGAAACGAGAGAGCAAAATTTCTCTTCAACCAATAGCAACTGTTCCCAATGGAGGCACCACGCCTAAAATCAGCAAAACTGTACTTTTATCTGCTAAAAGCATGAAAAAGAGTCATGAACATGGATCCAAGAAATCTCACTCTAAAACCAAGCCAGGTATTCTTAAAAAAGACAAAGCAGTAAAGGAAAAAATTCCCAGTCATCATTTTATGCCAGGAAGTCCTACCAAGACTGTGTACAAAAAACCCCAGGAAAAGAAAGGTTGTAAATGTGGGCGTGCTACTCAAAATCCAAGTGTTCTTACATGTCGAGGCCAACGCTGCCCTTGCTACTCTAACCGCAAAGCCTGCTTAGATTGTATATGTCGTGGCTGCCAAAACTCCTATATGGCCAATGGGGAGAAGAAGCTGGAGGCATTTGCTGTGCCAGAAAAGGCTTTGGAGCAGACCAGGCTCACTTTGGGCATCAATGTGACTAGTATTGCTGTGCGTAACGCTAGTACCAGCACCAGTGTAATTAACGTCACAGGGTCCCCAGTAACGACATTTTTAGCTGCCAGTACACATGATGATAAAAGTTTGGATGAAGCTATAGACATGAGATTCGACTGTTAAATCAGTGGGTCTTTAAACCTACCTCTGGTAGGCAAATAGCTACAGTTTTACGGCAGCTATGGTTCTGTTGGTGTAACTTGCCGGAGCTCCTGCATATAGATCACTTGTATCAAGTGTTTTCATTGCTAAGTTATATGTGTTAGTGTCGGGGAAACCGTTTGCAGATAATGGAGGAGTAACCTTACAACTATATGTCCTTAGTTCTTACAGAACCTCATAGTTTGAGAACAAATGCTGATGCAACTGATTTATACAAAATGAACTTTGGCAAGGAAAATAACATTAACCTCATTGTTTATGGTCATGCTTTGTGCATAATCAAAGTTTATGATTAAATGTAAGGAAGTGGTATCTAGTCAGTCCATAAAGATTGTGCTGTTTTTTCTCTTTTCTTCCTTCCTTTCTTTTGTTTTGAAGTAGCCATTAGTTTGCTCAGGAGACTCAGTGCTGTCTTCAGATGCCACATCAGTGTATCTCCTGCTGGAAAGCTGATGTGTCCAGCTCAGCGTTTGTGGACATAATACCATTTCTGATCATGAAAATTGGCTACTTATGTATGTAGCAGTTCTGAATCAGCAGTATTATGAAAGAAAATTTGCCCCTCATTAGAATGCTTAAGAAATCTTTTAAAACTGAAATTCTGTCAGACTACAAATGTTCAGCTTTCGATGCTATAAACTCTTGTGAGTTTAGCTTACTTTTTAGTTATGTATGACTCATTTCTAGTGAAAAAAATCTTAAATCCTTCCTTCACTTTGAGCATTGTTCTGATTGGATAAATGAAGTAGAGTAGTTTTTATTCTGAAAGTATTTGAGTTTATATTATATGACAGAATTTTTAATTACAAAAGATGTTATTTAGAAATTGGGATTTATTTAAAATAATTTTGGAATAATGCCCCCAAATTGACCCAGATTTGTATATTATACTTATTGCCATTGGCCACTTTATTGATTTCCCCCTACCTGTATTAGTTTATTTGCCACAGACTTTTATTCTGAATATGCTTTTTTTTGGGGGGGGGTGCTATTCATTATGAAGGCTTCTTTACTGAGGCCTAATAAAAATGCCTTTTTATGAAGCCTGTGCATTTAGGTAGATTTTAAACTAGGAGGTTTTCTTTAGAATGCTCTTTTGCATGTAAAGCACAAACTATGTTTCAGTTTAAATGCACTCCTTCGCCTTTCTCATGGGAAGACAAGTGAGTCACATTCTGTTGACGGCAATCTAGTCAGTTGCTGGAAAGAGCACAGCCCAAGGAAAGCAAGAACTGGCTAGGTGAAAAAAATAACCTTGAGAATTTGTAAAAGGAAAGCTGCTTTGACAGTGCTTATTTAAAGAAAGAAAAATACTGCTGGAAAAGTTCCCATTTCCACTATGTTCCCCATCTCTAGTGAGATCTGACATATGTTGGAGTTCTGTTTGATTTGGCACACAGCATGTTCAATGATGGTTACTCGCCTAGTACAAGAAACCTTTGGACACAGAGCAGATGACACCTCCTTCTGTTTTGTAGTGTACCCTGGTGTCATTTTCTGTGAATGTGGTCAGGTAGAGTTGTTTTTGTTGTTGTTGTTGGGCTTTTCTTTTTTCCCCTTGGTCTCTTGGTGGGGTGGGGGTGGGCTAAAGCCATAGGAGGAAACATGTGATGTATGTGTCTGGTATGTACTATTTTGTTTTTGTTTTGCAAGAAGAGTTGAACTATTTTTGATAACAAGAGTAAATGGTGGAAAATGCTTCTTAGTTGTCTTGTCTTTATTTGCTTTCTAAGTTTTGGAATTTTATTTAATTCCTTTTAAGTGTTAGCGGTGTCTTATGAAAGATGTATTATTACCTACAGTTTGTAACAATTTTGTGTGGACAAGATACCCTGCTATATAAGCTTGTAAATCTGTTCTTTCTTCACTAATGATCACTGCAAAAATAACTAGAAATGAGATTGTACACATGGATGATTAGGGTATATTTTGCAAATTTCTCAAACTTTCCTAATATTACAACCTTAAAATTCATAGAGTACTTTATTGCTTCCCAAGTTTGATAATCTTAGTTTTGTGTTTTTTGATGCATGGGAGGTTGGCAATATAGACAAAGTGGAAATCATTAGTATTTGAGGGCCTCGATTGTTATGTAATATTGCCAATGATGAATTCAGGTTGTTTTTAGCACAAGTTTCTTTTTTATGCTGGTATTCTCACTGCCACATTTTTGGAAACCTGTATTACACTTTAAATCTATCAATAAATGATAGTTTTCTAATTCTATGTTGTAGAATACTGAGGAGTTCGGGATAGCATGCTGGGAATGGTCTGTGTTAATTTTGGGAAGAATAATTAATGGTGCTTTGACTTTTACATTGTCTGTCTTTATATCACAAGTTATGTAGGAATGGTGACTGATAGGTATTTTGGGGGTGACTGAAACTGGAGTGATTGGATTTACTTCTTCAGAGTAAGCAATACCAAGACAAGATATGGCACTTCTTTAATGTTATTTTGAGTTGTTGCTATTACTATAAATGCCCAGATGGATCTTTTATAGCAGGTAATTTTAGATCTCATGATTTATATTTAGTCACCTTCATTCAATCTACCATTTCCATGTAATTGTTGCAGTATGTTCCTAACAGTTCTTTTTATTTCACTATGTTCTTAGGTTGCTTAAAACCATTTATGATGATTTTTCTTAAGAAAAGTAAAATTTATGACATTTAGAAGGGAAAGTACCTGTCCTTTCCATTTTGTAGATAAAAAATGTTTTAGTTTAAAAGTATAATGTCTAAATCTAATACATGGATGGTATTTTATACTTTGCTCCTTCTTAAATTCTAAGCCCTTAACTATTCATTAATTTAAAGGAATTATGCTACTGAACCCCCTCTGACCCTGTGCGTCCCTTTTTCCCAAATCCTGATCCCCTTCCCCAGAAGAAATAAATCACTTTTGCTTTGAGATACTATCTTTCTGACAGATCTTTGTTTGTAGTCCCACAGGGCTTCCGAAAGTATTCTAGCTTCAAGTTTGTTTACAGTAGTGCTCTTTCAGGCTTACAAAATGAGTTGCAACTGTAATTAAAACCAAAAGTATGTAGCAATTATCTTAGTGAACATGATTCATATTTAACAATTTTATTTAGTTTTGCAAAAAGGGAAAAGATTCATGCAGTCTTCATTCGAACACACCTTAACATTTCCAAAAGTTGAGCAAATGACAGATTTCATCTGATTTAGAGTTTTATGAACACACTGTATTGTACACAGTGGTGACAAACAAAATGTAAGGGAAATACACAGATGCTCATTAGTTTATCACTACTAAACTAACTTTTCATTTGACAACAAGATTATGATAACCCTCAACTTACCTTTACTCGGGCTGGGGTACTGTAACAACTTAACTTCCAGTTTGGCAGTAATGGTTATATTTAACCTGATCTTTATCAGAAAGTCAATATATACCATTGTCATTCAGAGTTCACATTCCTTGCATTCAGGTCTAAGAAGCAAGTATGACGAAGCACATTCTTGTAATGACAGTATCTGATCATTTGGGAAACCCAAATTAGCCTGTCTTGAACGGTATTAATATCTGTACTTTTATGGTAAGAGATTTTTAAAACCAAACATTGATCAAAGTAAAACCATGAAAACTTCACAAAGAAGAAACAAGGTAAAAACAAAAGCCCCAAACCCAAATGGTTAACAAAAGGTATGCTGTGAAACCGAACTTCATTTTACTTTTTCGTAGGACTTAAATAATTGAACCATTTTGAATAAGATTTCATCACATCTGTTATTTAAAAGAAGCACTTTTTTGTATTTTTTGCATTCAGATAGGTGCTGCCCTTCTCTTCCTGGTAAAGACTGAGTGGGACTGGTGGTAAAGTTCATGGTATGCAAATAATTCTAGTAACTTATCAGTGTTTACTGCATTTTGATTTTCTCAAAACTCAAGTCACATTGAAGCTTTTAATTCTACATTCCAGGTGAAGTGTTAAGCAGCTGTAGTAATCACTTCATTTTATAAAGTAGATCAGTTGTCATCATGAAGGTAAGAGCAGGAAGGAGCATCCTGTGACAGGCAAGATGCTGACTGCTCCTGTCCTCCGTGCCCCTCCCCCCACTTGACGCCTGCCGTAACTCGGTTATTTTATGCTTGGTTTTTAACACCAGCAAAGTGACCAAGGTAATGTGGAAAGAAGCCATTCTGGTTAAAGGAGTATTTAGGGAAGAAGTTGATTGTTTTAATAGAGATGAATGTTGGGACATTGCTTGGTGGTTTTTTAAATTTCTTTTTCATTTTTATCCCCCCCCCCCCCCCGCAAATACTGTAGGATTTACTGTGGCCTGCTGAAAAAGATTAAGGATTCCCTCCTGAACCCAGCTACTCTGAGTGTCCATGGCAGCTTTCTCCTTCTGGGCCTGTCGCTGTTTTCTTCCATGGTTGTAATAAATGTTGAGGTGGTGAAGTGCTTGGAGTAGCCAGTGTGGACATCGGGAGTGATGTTAGGAAGAGGCGTGTACTCCTGTCCTCATCTCATGGTCAAGGACAGAGTATGTCTAGTAAGGATTTTCATGCAGTATTTCCAAGCAGGCCTTCTGTATAGGAAGTAAAGATGGGGTGTGATTGAATTTGGAGATTGATGAATCATTCAATGGTTGTCTACAAACGTTAGATAAAATAACTTTCTTCAAGTATTAGTCAAATTCTGTACTTCATTTGAGCAATTTCGAGATTCTGTATGAGAGCCACAGTGAGGGTGGGGAGGTTGATAAAGGCTGTCAGCCAAGTTGGAAGGCCCAGTGGTTACAATACCTGAGGATGTAAAGTGACTAGCAGTTTGGCAGGTCATTGTGAAGTTGCATTAAACTAGGTTAAGTTCAAGATGTCTGAACTCCAGTACACATAAGTAAAAGAGGTCTCGGAGATGTTTTGGCAGTGCTTTCATTACTAGGGCTAACTCAATTCTGGAGGCCGCCCTTAATTTTTCAAGTTCCAGAATATTCTTACTCAAGTTTTTCTGCAAGTAAAGGTATCTTCTAGGCTCCATAGGAGCTCTGAGGGGCCTCGTATGCTGACCGACTCGAGGCAACTACTTCTTCTGTGCAGAGTGGTGTTTGGCTCTGTCACTGAGAGCTGCTTGGTACATTCAGGGGGCAGAGTGCTCATCTGCAGACTTCGAAGGTGATGCTATGTGATACTCCAACGAACTCTGCCAGAGGTTGGAGGCAACCTGGAGGAGCCTCCGAAGTTGGGTGAGTATCTAGATTTACTGTTTAAAAACACTTCAGTGTTGCTAGTGCAGATACACACTTCTCCAGGCCTTTAGAAGCATTATATGCAAAGAGAATCACTTCATGAGGAAAAAAGATAGAAAACACACATCTTTTATGTAGACACCAGTAGTTGCGCTGCTACTCTTCATCCACTGACTGCAGCTTCTCAAATTGCTCTGAAACGTTTGAAGTTATCTTATTGCCTTTGTTTCCAAATTCAGTTGGAGAGACAGGTTCATCTATTTCATAATCTTCAAAGGAACTGAAAGAAAAATAAAAGTTAACCTTTTATTTTCTTGGTAACAAGGTTTGGATAGAAGTGGGCTAACCAGAGACTGAAGCCAGCTTCCTGAGGGAGCCTCAGGTTGCCAAGCAGCAGCTGTAAATTGAGGGCCCAATACTTTTTTCTCCTTGTGCCTTAAGATTCAAATTCATGTTAGAGATGTACTTTATCCTATATGAGCTTGTAATGTTTCCATTGAAGTTTCCATAGAGTGGGAGTTTCAACTCTCAAATTTATAGCTTTTCTCCGTGGCTTCCAGGAAGCATATTGAGACGTGCGATTGTGTGCATGGAGCAATGAATTTCCCCCATCCTACTTGGCAAAATTTGACTTCCACGCATGTTCATCTCCCTTCAAGGTTACTGATAACCCCTGTGCAACCATATCTCCCTGGCTACTCCTGCTGTTTGCTTTAGACAGTTAACATTTTCCTTTAAATGATGACTGAATTACCAAGCTGGTAAATATTGTCAGGCTTCATTTTAGTAAGAAAATAAACATTTACTAATGTCCACTGTGATACTTGACATTTCTAGCTAAGCTTTTGTTACCCTTTGCCAGGCACCTTGTGCTACACTTGAGAAGAAACTTCTGGTCACGCAGTCCCTTCCATCAGAAAGATGAGACAGGCAGGTGTATCCAGTAGTTGCTGGGTAAGGAGACCACAGGATAAATTTGCTCCAGTCGATGAATGATTGACCAGTCTTCATTTGGGGAGCACAGTTTTACACTTCTGCAGTGCATTATCAGACTGCTGCTATTGCAATGGAAGGCATTTTCTGCCTTTGCTATCTGTAATCTGTCAGAACAGTCTGAGGAACTTTGAAATAGTTAAATCTAAAGTGAGACTCATCCAGTGAACTGAACTGCTAACTAAGCATGGTAGAACAGAACCCGATAAGCTGCTGCTTCGTGGTGGTTAAATGTCTTCAACAGAGTTTTGGTTTCCAATTTGGGTTTGGATCTGTTTTGGGGGCATGGTTATAAATTCATGCATGATTGGCAAAAAGCCTATTGGATAACCATCCGTACGTCTGTGCTGGAGACCGTTTCAGTTTTCAATGAAGTATTTGCAAGCATCTCCCTACCTGCCAGGAGACAGGGCAGTATCTGCACACAGCTGAATGTCACGCTGGCTGGCTGCAGGGATGTGCCTAAACTCGTGCTGGACACATCAGTGGTGCTTGAATTTTAGCTCCTCCGTCATTGTACACTCCTGGTAATCTCTCCCACGGCTTTACCCACTTGTTTGCCTGCAGTTTCTAGAGGTCCTCATGTGTGCAGCTGCATCCTAGATTTTTGTTCATATCTTCAACTAATTCTCTAAATGATCGCAACAGCCAGGGCTGGACCAGGCTGAATGAAGCGGGGAGCCTCAACTGGGTCTCCTGTGGGTACAGGGGCCCAACTACTCGGGCATTTTCTGCTGCACGGGCACATTTGTAGGGGATCTGGATCAGAAGAGGAGCAGCTTAGACTTGAGCTAATACCCATGTGGGGTGCTGTAGGTCGTGGCTTAACATACTGTGCCACAATGCCTGGCCTGCAGATGATTCTAGGACAGCAGTGTGTACAAAGCAAACTCCTTACCGCTGCCCTGCACCTCCAGCTCTTAGCAAATATCTTAACATAATTCAACACCTGAAGCCAGAAACCTAGTTATTCCTAATTCCTCTTCCCTTTGCCCCGCCCCTCTCCAATTCTAGCTAGTCTTATTACTTAAACAAGTACCCTGGGGATACAGCCCCGCCTCTGCCTTACCACTGGCTTGATCAGGATACCATGCTCTCTTGTTTGGATTATAATAATTGGTCTTTCACTCTTGCCACACCCTTTTCCACTGTAGCTGCTGTTTCCTGTGTTGGGTGGGTTGTGCTCTCAGGACCCAGTGGCACTGCACATCTTTCAGTTGCCTGGCATGTGCTTGCCTCTTCCGCAGTGTCATTTAAAAGTGTTGCTTTTAAGCTAGTATCATTTATTTTGGTATCATAATGGCTTCCTTATTTGCCTGCCTGCTTTCTAGCATCTCACTAACCTAAGAGAGCAATCTTAAAAAAAAAGTAGGATCCAGTTGGAAACCATTATGCTTTGTGAAATAAGCAAGTCACAAAAAGACAAATACATTTTCTCTGATTTGTGAGTGACAACTCACAGTACAGAAAATGTACTCTAAGAGGTCAACCGAAGGATTTCCATCTTTTTCCTTTTTCTTGCTATGCTATGGCATCTTTCCCTATTGGAGTGTTAAGTTTACAATCATGAAATGAAAGGAAAATGTGCATTGTAATAGCCTGGAGAGTAACTTACGGGAAAGGAGGAGCCTCTGTGCTTCTAAATCCACACGTGAGACACAGATTACTCACTTCAGGTAATAAAAAGTGCTTTCTCTGATACCAGGATAGCTTAAAAAAATAGAGTATGTAACTTTTTTTGTTAAGCCTTTTTTATTAGCTTCCCCAGGCACTGCATGATCTGGCACCTTTCTAATACTTTCTAATATTTAATGTTTGTTCATTTTGCTCTAGCTACACTTTATTTTAAAGGTTTATTTACTTTTATTGCAAAGTCAGATACACAGAGAGGAGAGACAGACGAAGATCTTCCCTTACTGTTGGATTCGCCGGGTGCCCTCTCTAAAGGAGCCTGTGACCTTGTGGTGTCGTGCCCAGGCTGTGGCTGTTACGAGGCTTCTCCCCCTTGCTACCTTATCGCCCACATACGTTCTGTGAGGTTCTTATCTCCCATAATATGAGAAGAGCCTCTCAAATGACTGAGCAGACTACAGCTGGTGGTGGCCTCTCCTCTCGTGACCCTCACCGGTACCCGTCTGCCGCCGGTCTCCCCTCATGCACACAGGTACCGCTTGCTGGGCTAGCACAACCTGACAAACTTCTGCTTGAGCCATTTACTCACTCTGGCTGCCATCAGGCACTGTTTACACCAGCCTCTTCCTCCCTTTACAGCAGGACAGGAAACTATAAATGCCATTTTTATAAAACATTGTATGTATAGAAGCATCTAGAAAGAACTTTCAGCGAATAAGACAGGCTATCACTGAGGGCCTCAAAATGAACACTTTTTAATTTTTCTGCACTGAAAATTTATTATCTGATTAGGTAAAGGATTAATTTCCTCTTTATTAAAAAACACATGCTAATCTTAACATATTATAGAACAGTATATGAAGACAAGTTACTTTAAATGCCACAGCCCAGATTTTAATAATTTTGACCTTTCTAAGAAATTAACTTTTTAGGCCAACTTTTAAATGTCTTTGCATTATGATATAAACACACCGTGACTTATTTAGCCATTCTATTATTTGTTGCTTCATTTAGTTTTAGAATTACCTGTGACCGATACCAATTATGTAGATAGAAATTTTTATGTGAATTTCTGATGACTGGCAATAGATCCCAGGATTAAAACTAAGGAGTCCAAAGGCACAAAGTCAGGCTGTTTTCAAGTGACTTAACACTGGATCAACAGATTTCCCCCAGCAACGTCTGGGAGGGCTGTCTTCCTGCACAGTTTCCTCCGTGAGGGCAGTTCCTCTGTCTGCATCAGACTTCCTGCTAGGGAGGAATCTTGTGTTTACCATGCGCAGTAAGGCTTAGTGCACACTAGAAATGCAAACAGTGAATTAGCTTTTAAAAATTACTGCTGGGCCCGGCAGCGTGGCCTAGCGGCTAAAGTCCTCGCCTTGAATGCCCCAGGATCCCATATGGGCACCAGTTTCTAATCCCGGTAGCCCCACTTCCCATCCAGCTCCCTGCTTGTGGCCTGGGAAAGCAGTCAAGGACGGCCCAAAGCCTTGGGACCCTGCACCCGTGTGGGAGACCTGGAAGAGATTCCTGGATCCTGGCTTCGGATGGGCACAGCGCTGGCCATTGTGCTCACTTGGGGAGTGAATCATTGGATGGAAGATCTTCCTCTCTGTCTCTCCTCCTCTCTGTATATCTGACTTTGTAATAAGAATAAATAATAATAAAAAAAATTACTGCCAATTTTAATAAGGTACAACTTTTGGGCTCCTACTTTTACTTTATTTGAGAAGCAGAGACAAACTTCCGTGTAACTGGCTCCCCAGAAAGCCGCAGCGGCCAGAAGGCTGTAGCTGGAAATGGAACCCCGAGTCCGCGCAGTGGCCGCTCAAGCACTGGAGCCACCATGGCTGCCTCCCAAGGGCCACGCTGGGCGGAGTCAGACTCCAGTGCTGCAGCGCCAAGGTCCTCGGGCCTCTAGACTCTTACTACCAGGCAAAATGCATGCCCAGCTCAGTCCAATAAATAAATAAAACCAAAAGCAGCAACCAGTTTTAATAATTTACATAACAGAGTTCATCAGTTCTAAGCGTTCAACACATTCTGGTTAAGAGTTTTTACAGTTGCACAAGCCCTGCCACGGTTCAGTTTTAGAACACTCGGCTCTCCCATCCGTTCCTGCTGTCTTCTGACTAGGCCTGCGGAGCCGCTTCCCTGTGCTGCAAGCCTCCCTCCTCCAGATCCGCACACGGACTCTAATGCTCCAGGCGCCTCACTGCGTCGACCTGCAGTGCTCAGACAGCAGTCCCTGTTGCACTAACTACTCGATTCCTTTTGATAACTGATACAGCACCCAGTGCCGAGACATGTTTTAACTCATATTTCACTCTGATATATATCTTAAAAATAATCAGTGGGTCACAATGTTTTTTTGCATATGGACAGCCAACTATTTCCACACTATCTTTGAAGACAACCCTTTGGTTGAAAATTGGTTGGCCACATATGTATATTTGAATATTTTATTGCTCTAACACGTACACTTATCAGTGAGTCAATGTCTTGATAATTTTTGGCTTTATAGTAAGTTTTGTTTTTAAAATATTCTGACCAGGTGCATGTTATTTTTACATAAATTTCAGAGTTGGCTTACTATTTTCTACAACAAAAAATTTTCAGAGATTTTGATGGGGATTGGGTTCCATAGAGTAATTAGGGAAGAAATGATATTTTAACACTACTGATGCCTTTAATCCAAATTTCTTTAGGTCTAAATTAAAAAAAAAATTATTTAAAAGGCCTAGAGAGATGAGCAGAGATTCAGAGAGTCAGAATGGAATCTCCTTTGTGTTGTTTCACTGCCTAAATTTCCCCAGGTGGCCAGGGCTGGGCCAGTGCCTGCAGAGTGGCAGGGACCGGGCATCTGAGCTGTCCCCTGTTGCCTCCCGTGGCATCTTACATTAGCCTAGTCACTAAATCCTCATCTTGTGACTGCCAGGATCCCATGTGGGTGCTGGTTCATGTCCTGGCTGCACCACTTCACACCCAGCTCCCTTCTTGTGGCCTGGAAAGCAGGCCTTTGGCCCCTGTACCCGCACGGGAGACCCGGAGGTGGCGGCTTTGGGTCAGCTGGGCTCTGGCTGTTGCAGCCACTTGGGGAGAGTACCAGCAGACAGAGGATCTTTCTGTGTCTCCTCTTTGGAAATTGCTTTTCCAAGAAAAAATAAAATCTTTAAAAAACATAATTTCTGTAGGGTTTTTTTGTGTGTGTTGTGTTTCTTTGGCTTGTATTCCTAAGATTTTACTTTTTTAAATGTCATTGTGAATAGAATCATCTTTTTATAGTATAGCTTTCATAGCTCTTTAATGCTAAAAAAAAATATGGTCATCCTTCACTGCTTTCCTAGGCCACAAGCAAGGAACTGGATGGGAGGTGGAGCTGCCGGGATTAGAACTGGCGCCCATGTGGGAGCCTGGCACGTTCAAGGTGAGGACTTTAGCCGCCAGGCTACTGTGCCAGGCTCCCATAGTTTCTTCTTTGATTCATGTGTGTTAGAGATAAGCTGAAGTTCCCAGATTTCTGACAACATAGCATATCTTGTTGTAATCTACTTGGATTTGTCAAGCATTATTTTATTGGCCGAGTATATGGTTTTTCCTAGTGAAGTTCCAGACACACTTGAAAAAAAGTATTTTATTTATGATCTTACAGATTATTTGTTAAGACTGACAATCAAATCAAGCTGAAGAATTTGTGGAAAAATGGAATTAAAAGTTCATTTTGGTGCAAAAAGTCAAATTTATGCATATGTGTGGTCTTCAAAATGTCCATGGGAAATGCATGGGAAGATTTTGAATGCACTGAAGACATTTGACAGCCGCACACGCTTGAGTTGCATCCCCATGAGCTTGCTGGAGCGCCCTGGGCGCCGGATGGACGCCTGTGGGTGCTGCGGGCGGCTCGGGGAGATCCTTCCCCGACTCGCCCTGCACGCCTGAGCTCTCACCTTCACGTGACCTTTATTCCCTAAAGCTTTCCTGTTTTCAAGTATTTTTCTATTGGATACTCTAGTTTTGTCCTTTCCTATTTTATCTGCTCTTGCAAAGCACTCTTCCTTGGAAGTTTTTTCTTAATGAAAGTCAAGAAACACCCACGAAATGATTTCAGTGCTTACATGGGAATGTATATGCACTATAATTTTGTTAATCTTTTTGTTACAAAACATGCACATGTCTCGACTACAGGAATGCTACTTCTCTAGACCGTCAGTCCTCCTTCCCGGTGTGGAGGCGCCACGCTGGAGAATTTGCTTCCAGTTTATTTCTTGCCGCCTTCAGGCTTATGACACTCCAGTCATTTGGGTCTACAGGTCATTGATGTAAAGAATGAAATTCCAGTTTCATGGCTCTGCAGGTTTAAGAAATCTACAGATAAGAAGTGGCTGCTGACGGCCTGTCAGCACCGAGGAAGTTACTGCAGACTTACTGGGAGAGGTACACCTGTGTTCGCTCTGGAGGATCACGTGACAGGATCCCTCCTTGGCTGGCTCCTGACTGCACGGCATCAACTGAGTTAGGCTGGGCATTCCTGACCGCTTGTGACAGGCTGGCTAAGGTCACAGTCCGGTCAGACGACCCTGTCTCTTGGGGTTCTAGCGAGTTTCATCTCCGTAGGGATGGAAATGGCTCCTCAACTGTTGCTAGCTCTGGGTATCTATCTTGTTGTTGGCTTCTATAGAACTATACTATGTTTTTGCAGATTCTTTTATAATACCAATTTGGTGTATGCTTTTCTGTTTGTGATGTATCTAGGTATTTCATCCTACATATACATAAAATGACAGCTATCATGTAAGGTGATTGGCTGCACCACTCGAATTCCTCATAGTGAAGTGATAAATACGTCAGTCAATAAAGCACTGTAAAATAATGATCATTATACAGCTAAAAAGTATCACTCAGATACATCTGGGCAATAATCTCCAGTGTATTGAGTGTGGGCAAAGAAGGTACTAAACACTGGCTATAGTACACTACCTTTGTGTAGTCAAAGAAATAAGAAATAATAGTATATATAAATATTTGCAGAGTGGAAGAGCATAGAACACAGCACGTGCTGCTTCTGGAGAACTGGGTAGTTAGGGAGTTTTGTTTTTTTTTTTAAAGAATTATTTTATTTTTATTGGAAAGGCGGATATACAGAGAGGAGAGACAGAGAGGAAGATCCTCTGTCCGATGATTCACTCCCCAAGTGAGTGCAACGGCCGATGCTATGCCGATCCCAAGCCAGGAACGTCTTCTGGGTCTCCCACATGGGTGCAGGGTCCCAAAGCCTTGGGCTGTCCTCGACTGCTTTCCCAGGCCACAGGCAGGGAGCTGGAAGGGAAGCAGGGCTGCCGGGATTTGAACCAGCGCCCATATGCGATCCCGGGCGTGCAAGGCGAGGACGTTAACCACTGCGCCACCGCGCCGGGCCCAGGGAGGTTTTTGTTATTCTTTTGTTATCCATGATAAGGATTAAGGACCTTGAAGAAACAATCTCTATTTTTTGTTCTTCTAATTTCTTAAATTATTTTTCTGGGGGGTGAAAATTTTTAGTTTTAATTTTGAAATTTTATTTTATTGTTAATATTTTTAAATTGTTAATTTTGTTTACAGAGGTGAGAGGGATACGTGCCCATGTGGGCCTCTGATTAGAGTGGGGAGGGCTGAGGAATAGAGGAAGGTGGGTGAGACATATGGTTCAAAAAATTTTTAAGGAAGAACTGGATTAATGGTTTAAGGAGTTGCTAGAAGATGACAGAAAAATGAGCAAATTGAAATGTTCTACCTGACGAGTACAAATTTATATGCAGAAGTTACTTCTTATTTAATATAAAACCAGGAATGACAGAGGTTGCTTCTACATGTGATCACCTGTTTATTTCCTTTGGAATGGAACACGCCGCCGCCCTTCCCATGCAGTGGGAGGACACGTTAGTGGTTCTGCTTTCGCTGACAGAGTGACACCATTAAAGGAAGCAGGACATAAGAAAACTTATCAGGAAACAACGTAGGGAGTAGAAACTCCCAAGGAAAATATTCACATCACTCACAGGCGGATTTACTCACCCTTCTTGGAACTGTGCTTGGGCAGACTCCTCAGCAACCAGAGTCTCGTATTCCTCAGCCGCAAACCTGTCCCAGTCAGAGGGCTCCGGCCCGTCATTCTCCACGTCCTGAAGGGAACGGCACCAGAAACGAGTTAGTCGGCGACAAAGAACTACTGTAAGTCGTAACAAGTGTACATGGCTGAGAAACCTGAGAACCGCTTCATTTCAACGTACTGAATGCGGTACAAAGGCAATATTCTTAAGGTGATTTTCTACAGCTGAAATCACAAAGTCTTAACTGCTGAGCAGCTCCATATCCAGGTTTGCAGTTTTTCAATCTACAGCTAAAGGCCGTTTTCCTCAGTGTCCCTCCGCGGCACAGCGGCGGTCCGCAGTGACTTGTGGCTTGCATGTGTCCATGACTGTGACTCCCTTCCAAGCCGGTTGAGGGCTGCGTGTTTGGAACGGGGCTTGCAGTGCTGTGTAGGATGCCCACACCACAGTGTCCTGTGTCCTTGTCCCGCTTCCTGCTTGTGACACGGATAACACCTATCAGAAAGCTGGTTCGCACCTCGACGCCTTCCTGCTGATGCAGCTGCTGGGAGGCCGGTGGACAACGAATGGCCAAAGTGCTTGGTTCCCTGCTCCTTGTGGCACTTTCGGGGAGAGTTCCTGGCTTTGGCCTGGCCTGGCCTCTCTGGGGAGTAGACCAGTGATGGAAGCTCTCTCCAACACACAAATCAATCAATCTTACAATAAACAAAGCCTAGAACTTGGTTTCTGTTGACCTTGTGGGTGACCTGGATGCAGTGCTGGGCCCGACTAGCCCAGTCTGTTAAAGGAATGTGATGTGGGGAATAAAAGCACTCAATGCTGCTCTGCCTTTCAAATAAAAATAAAGCCTAGGAGGCAGTGTGACGCTCTGAGGGACCAACAGGCCAGCGCAGACACCGCCCGATGCATCCTGGAAGCCGCCGCCCTCATCGCTCCCGTCTCTCGCGTGCTTTCTCATCCTTGCTCTCTGCACAGGCAGCAGCTCTTCAAATCAGGCCTGCGATTTAGGAGCATTTTCTGACTTCTATGTTTTTTGCATATCACAACAAATATGAGTATTTCTCATGTAAAAACATTTAAAAATTTTTATTTAAAAAAAAAGGTATCTCATCCAACGGTTTACTTCCAAATGCCTGGATGGCTGGGCTGGGCCAGGCTGAAGCCAGGAATCGATCTCCACCCAGGTCTCTCCCATGGGTGGCAGAATCCAGCCACTTGAGCCAACGCTTTCCAGGGTGGGCGTCAGTCCTGGTGGCAGGAGTCAGAACCATGAGCACACCTCACAGGGTCAGCAGCTCAGCACCTGCCCCAAGAAAAGACTGAAAATTCAATCCAGGGCCCTGCGCAACAGTGCAGTGGTTAAAGTCCTTGTCTTGCATGCGCCAGGATCCCATATGGGTGCCAGTTCTAATCCTGGCGGCCTGCTTCCCATCCAGCTCCCTGCCTGTGGCCTGGGAAAGTAGTCAAGGATGGCCCAAAACCTTGGGACCCTGCACCCATGTGGGAGACCTGGAAGAGTTCCTGGCTCCTGGCTTCGGATTGGCTCAGCTCCAGCCGTTGTGGCCAACTTGGGGAGTAAACCATTGGATGGAAGATCTTCCTCTCTGTCTTTCCTTCTCTTTGTATATCTGACTTTCCAATAAAAATAAATAAATCTTTTTTTAAAAAAGAAAATACAATACAAATAAAAGAACAGAGAAAGGCAATTTGATTTCATTGTATAGTACGGGTAGTTTTTTTTTTTTTTAAAGAAAGATTTACTTGTTTATTTTGTAAAATTAGATATCTTTCATCCATATGGCTGCGGTGAACAGGAACGGGACCAGAGGAAAGCCAGGAACTTCTGGTTTTCTATGTGGGTGGCAGGATTCAGAACACTTGGGCCATCTCCCATTGCTTCTCCCAGGCCGCAGCAGGCAGGTGGGTTAGAAATGGAGTATTCAGGACGCTGTTCCTACACAGGACGCCAGCATAGCGAGGGGGCTCTGACCTACTATGCCACAATGCCGGCCCAGGGCAATGTCTTCTATTACATGTCCAAGCTGCAAATGAAGTAGTGTTGCCCCAAGGTCAGTTAATATTTCTGAAACTGAAATGCATTAGATTTAATTGGCTATGTTTGCTTTTGTTTGGGCCTTGAAGTAAACATAGCATTGAGGCATGTTAAATTCGGTGAAGGAAAATTAAGGTTTAGGCCAGTGATAATGCACTTTGGCCCCGAATCTAGGGTATCTGTTTTCAGAGGTCATCTTGGCATTCTTACTGCTACTTAAGTCAAAGCAGCTATGGGGATGTGGGAAACGAAAAGGCTGCAGGAGCTCCCTACACTTGTACCGTCAGTCACCTGAAAGAAGCCCTTTCCTGTAAACACAGTTTTCTCTTCTTTCACAGGGGAATGGTGAAGCAAGTGGCTGTATTTATTTTTGTGGGTGGGTGCAGAGAAGGGACGGGGACATGCACAGAGTTTACTGAGGGCCCCAAGTGTTACGTGTGAGTGCTCATCTCTGTTCTGTGTGGAACACTCAAAACTGATGAGCACGCACAGCTATTATTAACACTTGACAAAGTGCTAGGTCATCTGTCCATGGAGAGCTACCTTTCACTACAAGGGGCTGATTTTGCACGGAATCCTGGAAATGAATGACATAATTAATGTTAATTTGGTTTCTAGCACAAATGTGCATCGATATATTTCTAAACATCAAAAGCACACATTTTTTCAGTTTCTTTTTGTTACTAATTTTATCGTTGCTTTAAGACTGTTTATTTGAAAGTTATAGTTACAGAAGGAGAGGGGAAGTGGGAGATAGACTGATTGCACTGCACAGTGTTGGACCAGGCCAAAGCTGGGAGCCAGGAGCTTCTTCCTGGTCTCCTATGTGGATGCAGGGGCCCAAACACATGGGCCATTTTCTGCTGCTTTTCCTAGGCACATTAGCAGGCAGTGGGTCTGGAAGCAAAGCAGCTGGTACTAGAACCAGTGCCCATATGGGACGTTAGCACCGCCATGTGGCAGCTTTAGTTACTGCACCACACTGCTGGCCTTGCCATGAGTTTCTAATGTGTCTGTAAATACACAGACTATGCAATCCACTCACTGGAGTGCACATGCACCTTATTATCTAAGTGTGAACAGCACCTGTAGGGACAGACATGCTCCAGGTTTTTTTCTGTATTTTGTGAAATATCTTAAATGTCACCTTCTTACTGAGGGCCAGCAGCACATGAAGTGGCTGCCTGCAGAGCCAGCATCCAGTATGAGCCCTGATCCGGATAAGGCTGTTCTACTTCCAATCCAGCTCCCTGCAAATGTGCTTGAGAAAGCAGTGAAGACGGCCCAAGTGACTGGGCCTCTGGACTCACGTGGAGAAGACCTGGGAGAAGCTCGCGGAGTGGGCCTGTCCCAGCTCAGAGCCATGGCAGCCATCTGGGGAGTGAACCAGCAGATCCACCATCTCTCTCTGCAACTCTGCCTTTTAAATGAATAAGTCTTTCAAAATAAATGTTACAAAAATAAATTCCTGCATGTAGACACCATTTTACTTTGTAGCACACAATGTCTGATACCGTAGCTCACCAGAATTCAAATACTAGTACCTTCTGGACCGCGAAGGGGTCTCTCTGCTCATGGTCTAAGTACTTCTCCAGGTTAAAGAAAGTATCATAGAAGATGTGAGCCATCCTGCATCTCTTCAGATCTCGTAGAGTTATTTTGCCTATACACAAATAAATAAATCTGGTAAGTTTCATCAGGAGAATTTTTGGCAAGAGAAAAAACTGATGTAAAATTAAAGTCATATTAAAATCAGTGAAATTCACAGTAACAAAATGTGTACATTTTAGGAGTGTACAATTAACTGCTTTTAGTATACTTCCGACGTCATGCCCTGATCCCTCCAAAAGGAAGCTAGGTATTAAACAGTCCCTCTGAGCTCTCCTCCCCGTCTCTACTGAAACATCCTGCTTCTTGCACAGCAGTCTTGCCACCAAGTGCTAGTTTCACACTGATCCAAGGCAGAGCTTTAAATTATCCAGGAACGGGGACTCCTACGGGAAGACTCTTGAAGGTTAGAGAACGGAGAACAACCTAGAATCCTGTGCGTCCCCGCTCACGGAGGTGCCCAATGCTGAGTCTCACCGTCACTGGCTGGCTTCACCAGGTCAAGCATCTGGCACAGCAAGTCGTGGAATGGCAAGGGCTCAATGCCCATGGCTTCCATTCGTTCACACTGTTCCTCATAGAAGTACTCCAGCTCGTACATGGAGAGCACCCCATCTCCATCCACGTCCATGCAGCGGAACCAATACTCAATGCTAGGAGAGAAGGACGCGCCTTAGTCGGGACCTGGAGAAGGTTCCTTGTTCACCCAGATCTCCCAGATCTCCCACTCCCATCTTCCTTTTTAAAGGAGTAGCATCTACACATTCCGGACTCAGACAGTTTTACAAAGTTAGGAAAATGGCAGCTGCTTTCTTCTCTTTATTTTCCCACCCCAGAAACAACCATCTGATTGCTTTATCTTCATATTTTTAGATAACATGCTGTTCATTTCCCCTTTCTTAAAGAACTAGGCATAAATCCCACACTTCCCCCATGTGTGTTTTTCTGTCTTATTTGTTTAGTTTTCTGCGTGCTTGTTAACTAATAAAGCCCCAAATCGCAGCTGTCATGAGCCGAGCAGGGCCTGGCTGCTTGCCTGGACGGGGAGCTCAGAGAGAAGAGGACTAAACATAACCCCTGTGGCCCCCGGCTGAGCGGGTGGCATTCGCTGTGCACCATGACTGGCTCTAGCGCTGTCCATGTGTTTAACATCGCGGCAAAGCTGATTTAGAAACCGTACCTGGTGGGGTTCCTTTTGTCTTCCTCGGAGATCAAAAACCAAACAAAATCTGCATAGCTCATTCTTCCCTCTTCCTGTACTGTTTTTCCCCTGAAGAAAACATGATTATAGAATTTCCTGAGTAACTGAGAAATAAAATAACATCCTTCTTTGGAAATTTAGTTAAAAATTTTTTTGCAAATTAGAACGCTGGCTGTCTCATAGAAGGCAACCCTTCTGGGACCTTTCTTGCTTTTGAATGCTCCAAGGTGAAACCGAGGCCTTTGCAAGTCTGAAGGAAAGCGCTCTGGCTTCTGACTGGAACACAGGCAATTACTGGGGTCTAAAAAAGTGAGCTGTATTTGGATATGGGACTGACACTTATACCAAAGAAGCACGGTCTTAAGCCATGACTATGTTTAGTATAATGTTATCTAACCAAATTATGGAAGAAATCTTAAGACTAATCCAGTTACTACTTGCAATTCTTTTTAAAAATGAGATTTAAAACTTTTTCTTACCTTGTCACTGCCCCGGAGAATATTCTTTCAATAATTCTGCTTGAGGACGCTAAATGTAAGTTACAAAGCCAATTAGAAACATACTCCATGAAGGCAATACGTTAACAACTTTTTTTCATTTACTACGAACTAAACCATAACAATCTACGATCAGAATATGAGTAGTTGCTTTAACCTACACTCAATTTGTACTATTTTGAAGGATGAATGTGACAACTTCTTGCTTATCCATCGGTAATTTCAAAAAAAAGAACAAGATAATGTGCCCGATGCTGGCGAGTGTTAATACACAGCTGCGTGCAAAATTAAACTGAGAAACCTGATATCTCAGATAAAATGGCCTGCATTTTTGCTGACCTTGTTTGCCAAAGAGATGAAACAAATTTTCCTCAGAAACAAGACAGGATCCGTGTTAGCATTAAATTCAAGAGGGAACAGTTGTGTATCCCCTAATATAATTTATGAAGTAAAGCTATAGAGTGCTGTCAAGCCAAATTTTATACAAGTTATCACAATACACTATATCTAGAACTTTCTCTATATTTTCATTCTGTAAGAGTCCTCCAGGATACGACAGAACCTGGAATTGTTTGAAAACCCCACACGGAGTTGTGTCTATACAGTCCGTTACATCTAGGACCCTAGCGATCCTGGACAATGTCCAGTAGGGTACCTTACTGTAGGTTCAGAACAACCAACGGCATGAGGTAGTTATCTGGAGATGCCTCAAGATCTCTTTAGCAACACCTAGGCAATGACTGGAGCACACACTGACGTCTTAGGTCGAGGGAGCTGGCAGCCATCACTCTGGCCCTTCTGTGTGGGCTTGGGTACAGTCAATGCACACTGCTCAGGTGATCAAAGCTGGAGAACTTATGTCAGTCCGGTCAGGCTGGCCTCCCACTGTGGCTTACACAAAGGCCTTCCACACTTCCATGAGCACTGTCGTATGGCTTGCTTAATAATTTGTATTAGGAGAAAAAGAGGATCCTAATAGAGAGGTATGGATATTCAATCCCAAAGCTTCAGCTTTCTAAAATTGAGTATTGTGCTGTTATTCCATGTTGTCAGTAATTCTATACAGTCTCATGTTGGACTCTGTCACGACCGTGGCAGTCCTGAGCTGTCAAGGGGCTCTGTCAGCAGCATGGGGGACGACCTCTAGGGGCTGGCTCACGCTGTACAGGTGATCTAGAAGGAAGGTGTACAGCTGGTAAAGCCACTTCTACACGCCTTTCGCTATTTTGGTGACAGGAAGGTCACGATCCCTGGAAAAGGGAGGGAGCCATACTGACATTTTTTTTTAAATCAAATAAACACATTTGAATATTTCCCCTTGATGTTTATGTGGCATCTAAGAATCTGAGAGAACTCTGCTTCTTAAGCAGGTAAAACTCCATGAAAGCAGCCTTATACTATCCTCTACTGGTACACTAAATAACAGAAACAAAAGTGAATGCATTTATTAAAAATGTGTGCTCTGATATATCTGAAAATGCCCAAGAAAACATTTAAGGATAGAACAAGAACAATATAATGAGAGAAGGCTGGATCAGTGCGTCTGGCGCTTCGCTGACAACAGTCTCTAAGTTTACTGCTGGCAAAATGAAGCAAAAGGGATGCCACCGTGTGATACATAAGTGTTGTCTTTTGACAAAAGAAAGTATGCAAAATTGATCTGCAGAGAAATTATCCTCTAGGACTACATTTCCAAAAGTCTGCTTTGGAAAGTCTCTGAGAAATGACACCTAGCAAGGAGAAGCGTTATTTTCATCTTTAGGTTTTTATAGAAACATTTTTAAATAGAAGAGATTATAAAAGGTATGCAATTAATCTCTTTAAAACAGGTTTATACAGGCAAGGATCTTACTTAAATTCATCTTCAGAAGACACATAACAGTATGAGAGCCCGTCAGTTCACACACCCAGACTGACCACTAACTTAGCTATAAATCCCCCGCCCTTTACCTGGACTCTAAATAAATAATAAACAAAATTAACTCTTTTTTGCTCAACCACCTTAAAAATTCTTGACCTTGCAAAGAGGATTTAATTCAATCTAAAAGTTAAGAAGTGAGACTTTCTCCAAGTGAGCAGGAACAATCTACCTCGCTCTCCAATATCTTCACATCTGCAGAGTCACTCACCCTGGTCATTGTAGCGAGACAGGTCAGCCTGGCTGATGTAGAGGTCGTGGTCACTATCTAATTCCCAGAATTTACAGTAAATAACATAGAAATGTTCATAGGAGAAGTAATCTGTGATTTGATTTATATCTTCCTCTTCTTCCAAAAGGGCTAGAGTCTGAAATGGTATGAATATAAGGATTAATTTTAAAATTATGAAAAAAGAGACAGCTTTGGTTATTACAGAGTATAGCAAATCTTTGTTTTAAATTTAACAGGAAAAATTTAGGTTTGATATCAAACCAGTAACAACTTTTTTTTTAAAGCTTATTTATTTATTGGAAAGTCAGATATACAGAGAGGAGGAGAGACAGAAAGGAAGATCTTCCGTCCGATGATTCACTCCCCAAGTGAGCGCAATAGCCGATGCTATGCCGATCCGAAGCCAGGAGCCTCTTCCGGGTCTCCCACGCGGGTGCAGGGTCCCAAAGCTTTGGGCCATCCTCGACTGCTTTCCCAGGCCACAGGCAGGGAGCTGGGTGGGAAGTGGAGCTGCCAGGATTAGAACTGGTGCCCATATGGGATCCCGGAGTGTTCAAGGTAAGGACTTTAGCCTCTAGGCTTCGCCACCAGGCCCAAACCAGTAACTTCTTAACAGGCAGCCCCTTATACCTTTAATCATTTGATCTTTACCAATAGAGTTGAAGATTTTATGAAGAAATGGAGTTGGAAGACAAAAATATAGATAGATCTCTTCTCAGTGTAAGTTCCATAAAACTTGACACTTTTTGTAAATGATGATACCAGCTATTTATTTATTTTCTAAAGAGTTTGGGAGTCCTGGGAATTTAACCACATAAGTATACTTTTTTCTTATTTTGTCTTATTAACTGAAGAAAAACAGGGGTCCTTTAAAGGCTTTTTAAGACTGAGATACAAAAAGAATTTTGAAGGAGCCAAATCGGTTCTGTAAGATGGATGCCTAATGATTTCCCACTGAAACTCTTACAAAACTGCTCTTTTTAATGAGTATTATGTGGAGCAGGATTCTCTGGTGATTCCTGGGCATTTTTCTACAAAAGGATTGGTTAACTTTCCCAAAGCACTCTTAGAACGGGCAAACACGACCCGTCCTTTGCCCGGTGAACTGCGCCCCAGCCTCCGCTCCGGACCAGCTGCCAAGGCTGCATCTGTGCTCTGCTGGGACACCCCACCTCGTGCAGCGTGGCTTCCACTGGCTGTGTCTTCAGGGTCACACTGGTGATGCTGCCTTCCATTTCCTGTTACAATTCTTCCAATTCTTCAGGGTCTTGATCTTGCCGGCTTAAAATTATCACTGAAAGCTCTGCTCTTGTCTGCAGCTGACTTGGCATCGACTGAGCAAGAAGTGCTCCGCTCCAACGTCATGGTCACAGTCGTGAAGGTCAGCAACAGAGATGCCTGCGGTGTCCATTATCTTTCTCTTGGTAATCTGGTCCTCTCCAACTAGGGCACAGACGACAGGAGCTCTTCCTCACAACTTGATATGGGTGATCTGCTGCTTCAGGCTTCATGTACACCATAAAAATTTCTAAAATCAGTTATTAGTAAGCTGCTGACTTTTTTGGGGGCACTGTCCCCAGAAATATTTCATAGGATATCATAGATTTCACCATTCTTCTATCCATACTTCATACCATCAATTTGATGTTTGTTCTTGCTTCAGTTTTAACAGAATTATTCTTGGCATAATATGAACTCTTTTCTAACTCATGTCTTTTTATTATTGTTCTTTTTAAAAAGATTTATTTATTTTTATTGGAAAGTCAGATATACAGAGGAGAAGAGACAGAGAGGAAGATCTTCCGTCCGATGATTCACTCCCCAAGTGAGCGCAATGGCTGGAGCTGTGCCGATCTGAAGCCAGGAACTTCCTCTAGGTCTTCCACCTAGGTGCAGGGTCCCAAGGCTTTGGGCCGTCCTCCACTGCTTTCCCAGGCCACAGGCAGGGAGCTGGATGGGAAGTGGAGCTGCCAGGATTAGAACCAGTGCCCATATGGGATCCCGGCGCATAACGCAGAAGACCATTAATTCTAACTGGGTCTAGGAACCCGAACACTGGGGGCACCCTCTGCTGTCTTCCCCAGTGCATCAGCGGGAAGCTGGACTGGAAGCAGAGTAGCTGGGTCTCCAGGACTCAGTCCAGCACTCTGATGGGCGTGTCCTGCGCAGTGGTTGTGTGCAACCCTGCGCTGGGTTCTCACCATTGTTCTTAAAGTGTCGACACATCCCATGATTCCTACTGAGCTCAAACAGGCATCAGTGTCAACAAATATCAACAATCACAGTGATGGTGACTATTCATTTTAATAAAAACCGTTTGTAAATCCACCACTATGTGCTTATTTGCCAAGTCTTCATTATTTTATTTGTTTCACATAATGATAGAGAAGAACAGAGCAAAAAGTTGTATTACTCAGCCTAAGTTTCATTTAGTATTAATAGAGTTTTATTATAAAGAGTTTTGTAGGAAGCTTAAGTTTCAGGTAGTGTAATTCATTTAACCACTTGTGCCACCGTGCCGGGCCCAGTGTAATTCATTTAAAATAAAACATTTTTGGGGGGTGGGAGTTTGGGGGGAAATGCCAGTCTATACGAAATTGTACCACATAATTCAAAAATTCAAATATATATATGTAATAAAATAATACAATAAAACATTTTTCCCTTTCAAATGTGAACCCTTCTATTTTCTTTTTTTTTTTTGGCAATTACGTATTTTAATATCTTAGAAAATCAGATCTTTACAGACAGAAATATGCAGTTTGTTAGTAAATAAGAATTAGCAAGATGACAACCACAACTTAATCCAAATAACATCCCAGAAGAAATAGCAAAGGATGCAGTAAATTACAGATCATACACGCCAACAAAGCCCCGATGAAAAGGACACCCATCTTTACAAGATCATGGGCTTAAACTCTGAAATATTTAATTGCATGATCAATATAATATGGTTCTATACATAAGTATAGAACTTGGTAAACTGACAGCCTGCAGGTCAAGAGCACATGCCAGGCCTTGTGCGGAGTCTTGCTGTGCCGGCGGAACTGACCCCATCAGCTACGGCCATCTACTCACTTCCCTGGCCCCAGCACGCACCGTCAGGCAGAGGTCCCCGGTTACTCTGTTTTCTCCCACCCATTCTCTATTTCTCCATCTCGTGTTTGTCAAATGCTTAATTACTGAAAGGAGTGACAGTGCTTTATAGAAATGCAACAAGAACATTACTTAAATTGATCTTTTTAGCTTTATGAGAGACATACTTGCAAAAAGTTGCTTTTTCTTATCTCTGTTGAAGTAATTTTTCCACTCCAGGATCTGTTGACCGTGTAGAATATTCTCTGAATAACCTGGTTCCAACAGGAGAAAAACACAAATAAAGACATGAAATATCTCAAATAACTTTACCAAAGGCTATATTACAAATATATGTGGAACCTATTTAAGTTTCGGCTTTTTTATTACATTGATTGTGATTCCTAGTACAAATTAATACTGTATTTAAAAATTCATATATTTTAAATTTGCCTCTGTGCTTCTGAGAAAAAAAACCTGTCTGCTCACAAGTCTTGCCTCTGACCTGCCTCATCTCACACCATGCGCTTGTTGGCCGACTGGGGAGGCGGGTTGGTTCAGCACCCGAGCAGGACGGTGCTGGCAGGGCGGTAGGAGTCAGGAAGGTACTCTTTCCACTGCAGCCTTTTTAATTGGAAAGACTCTAGGTCTTCTAGACTATGGAAATTCAAATATATTTAAGATGGTTCTTAAGAAATATTTATTTATTTGGAAGGCAAAGAGGAGAGGGAGGGGAAGACTGGGGCGGGAGGAGAAAGAGTCCAGTACCCTCTGGTTCATTACCCAGAAGCCAACAATGGTAAGAGCCAGGAGCCAAGCTCTGGGCGTCACAGGACTCACAGGAAGCAGGACTGAAGTGTGGAGTAGCTGAGGCTTGAATTAGCATTCCCATTTGGGATGCCAGAATACTAATCAGGAGCTTATCCCACTGTGCCACAAGACTGGCCCCCTTCTGAGAAAAATTATATTCTGACCTTTTAGGCCAAGACACTTTTGTTGCTTTAATGAGTTTAATAGCAGCGAAGCTCTGGAGAAGACCCAGCCTAAGATGAGAGGAGAAAATGGCTGGGAGTGTGTGCGATGGTGGAAGGGACGATTCCAGAACAAAGCAGAGGCTCCAACCATGGAGGCAGAAGGCCACAGAGCATTCGTTACCAAAGTTACTAGTTACTTTCAACCACTCAGTCTGCCTTTTAGCCATTTCTTCCTCTAACAAGAAGCAGTGATGAGAAGAGCAATTTAAGCACCTTTTTTGGGGGAGGGTACTTTGGCTTTTATTTTGATAGTCAAATAACACAGAATCCTGTACTGTTGGTGGTTTTACCACGTAAGAACTTGGCCAAACTGTTCTGGTATAAGAACAAGAAAGAGAAGACAGGTGGACATCTTCTAAAGAGTGGACCCCATTCTGCTTCTGTATTCTTCAACAAACGGGGCAACTTTCAAACCAAATGAAAAAACAAAACAAAACAAAACAAAAAAAAACGAGCATCAACAGGAAGGTTCCATTTCTGCTGCCCAGCAGTCAGCACCCTTCCCTACTGCCAGTGCTAGCTCCTCACCCTTCAGGCTCAAGCTCAGGCACCGCAGAGGCCCCAGAGCAGGCCCGGCTTCCTTCCTTCTCTGCTCGGTCTTCTCTGTGGTCGGATTCCACGTTCTCGTGCATCTACTATTACCTCTGAACTCCAACGGACCTAGCCTTTCTCGGCGCCATTCCAATATCTGATATGGTGCTTTGCGTGTATCAGGCGGTCAATAACTACTTGACAAAACAATGAGGTTTGTAAGCTATGTAGCAGAGATTTGTTAGCTCTGTGATACAGAAATATGGGCTAGTTAGCTGGGCTGGACAACTCTAATCAGAGCTTGGAGTATCAGGTGAATGTCAATCCAAGAAAGATCTCTGGTAAGTATTCCACAGAGGGATTTTTGTTTGTGACATACAGACAGAAGAAGCATAAAATGTGCAGAGAATATAAGACGGAATGGCAACCATTCACAACGGCCATGAAAGACACCACTAACGTAGCAATGTGTAATCTCAAGGAAAAACTTAACAGCAGAATACAGATGTGATCATGACCTGGACGGCTGCCTAGCAGGTCACGCTGGCTTGCTCTGCATGGCACCAGAAGGCGGAATTCAAACCAAGGGTCAGGAATGTCCTCATACAAAATGCTCCACTACAAGGAAGTGTTTTCTACAATTAATTCTATGAAGCAATGGGGTTTTATGAAGCAGTGAGGACTCTTTCACCACAGGTACTTAGGCAGAAGTTGGCAGGATTCCTGCACTGAATCGAAGCCCAGATTAACAGGCTTGATTTCTCTGTTGGCTACTCAGACTCTGTGGCTCTTGATGACAGAGAATGTGTCCACGCTGCATTCTCTGCTCTAGTTTGGCAATCATTCACATTAAAAAGATGGAGGATAAACAGAATAAAACTTTTGGGGGCTTGCACTGCAGCAATTGAAGTGGCCACATGCAACTCTGGCATCAGGACTTGAACCCTGTGAGCTCTGCTTCAAGTCCTGGCTGCTTCATTTGCAAGCTGGTTCCCGCTAACAGGTCTGGGAGAAGCAGCACACGCCGATGCACGGCCTCTGCCTCGTACGTGGGAGACGAGCACGGAGCTCCAGGCTGCTGGCTTCGGCCTGCTCCAGTGTGGCCCTTGCAGCCAAGTGGGGAGTAAACCAGGCAAGGAAAGAGCTCTCTTCATCTTTCTCTTGTAACTGTCTTTCAAACAAATTAAACAAATATCTAAAGAAATTTATCATAATTCCTATGCACCCTTTCTCAAGTTGAGTCATTTTCAATATATACATATTGCATCACATTTTTTTGAAGATATAAATCTATGCTCTGATTATATGGTTTTAATTATAACTTCATTTTCAAAGTTGAGTTTCTGGGCCCGGCGCGGTGGCGCAGTGGTTAAAGTCCTTGCCTTGCACGCCCGGGATCCCATGTGGGCGCCAGTTCTAATCCCAGCGACCCCGCTTCCCATCCAGCTGCCTGCCTGTGGCCCGGGAAAGCAGTCAAGGATGGCCCAAGGCTTTGGGACCCTGCACCCCCGTGGGAGACCCTGAAGAGGCTCCTGGCTTCGGATCAGCATAGCATCGACCGTTGCGCTCACTTGAGGAGTGAATCATCAGACGGAAGATCTTCCTCTCTGTCTCTTCTCTATGTATATCTGCCTTTCCAATAAAAATAATAACAAACATACCACCACCACCCATAAGCTTTATCTCCACTTAAAAAATATATAATCCAAACTCCATATATTAAAATTACATTACACCATCAACACAAACCCAACACCCCCCCCAAACAAACACAACCAAATTCAAAACAAAAAACAACATCCAAAAATCAACCAAAAATCCCCCCCAACACTTAACCCTAAAACTAATCCCACCAAAAACCCCCTAAACATACAACATATATTTTTAATACAAATATACACAAAACACCCTCTCTATATATCTAATATATCATCTTCTCTTCCTCATCTCTCTTCTCTCTCTTCTCTATCTCTCTACAAAACCCATATTAACCACCCACCACTACCCCCTCCCCCTTTTCCCTTAACTTCCCCTCCTTCTAACATCTCAACCAAATTTCACCATACTTTCCACAACCCCCCTTCAAATCCTTTCTCATCAAATTTAAATTACACTACCATCCCCCTTCCACCCCACCCCCAACATTTCTCACATCCTTTCCTATGCATATAACTAACATCCCTCACTTTCCAACCAAAAAAAACCTAGACAACCAATCCCTTCCATCTACTAACCACTCCCTCTCCCCCCCCCCCACCCTCCTACCCACCTCTCCTTACAAACCAAACCATACACCCCACCCCCCCCTTACCACCCCCCCACACTATTTCCTCCACTCCTCCCTCAAACCTCACATAAAACCCTTATTTTATTTTCCCATTCCCAAATATCCACACCACATCATCAAAAACTCCTCCCCCAATCCTTTTCCAATTCACCCCCTCCTCATCCATTTACTCCTCCTCCCCTCCACATTCATTATCTTCCCCCCCTTCCCCCCTCCATCCATTATCCAAACCTTAAAAATTCCATAACCCAACACCAACACACTACCATAACCCCCCCTTATCCTTACAAATACACCCTACACAAACTCCACAAACATACAACCTTCCCATCCCATATATAACCATGCCTGTTGGTTTTCAGATTTGCCAATTTAGCATTTTAGATTACCAAGGCAACGACACCACCTAGTGTTAAAAGTATGTAGCTGCTGGCTCTATATTAATTGTAGCTATTTTTAAATTCTGCTCCACCATTTCTAGATAAATTTTTCTAAAAACACAAAAGGCATAAAAACAGTAAAAATTAGAATAACTAATTACTGCCAGTAAGATAAATGACATTTGACAATCTTTTGCCAAGGGATCTGTAGTCATTTATTAGATAATAATGCCCATTATTTCCTTCCTCATATTCTCTCAAATCGGAAATCTTTGGTTCACAAATATGTGCCACCAGCACGGGAGGAAATGATGGTTCCTGCATACAGGGCTTGGCCAGTAGATTAAAGACCCAGAAATCACAGACTTTCTTTCTCTGGATGATTGGAGTGCTGCTCCAGCGCAGGTCACCATGTCATGCTGGAGGCTGCTTCTCCTGGGCTCTGCTCATCTACCCTTTGGTTATCATGGCCCTGAAATGATTTCCTCACGGTCGGCTGCTGAATTTGGTAACTAGCTTATCTTATAAACATAGTTTCTTCCTCTGACAAGAGCAAAAGAGCCATTTTTTTTTTTTTTTTAGGCAAAGAAGTTAACAATGATGAGCCATCTCCACCACACCTGAGTCATCTCACGAACCAGCAGCACCTTGCTTCCCACAAGTAAACTTCTGGCATTTTAGCCAGAAATGCTGGATTCTGATAATGACCACGTTACTGTGCCATCCGAGAAAGTCACAGGATATCTTTCTGCCAGCACCAGTCACAAAGAAGTATTTAAAATTTCATTACTTAGTAAAACACTCACAGGTCACGTCAACCCTGAGTTTGGGGCGGGGCCTCTCCAACACAGCAGGGAAATCCACAAGCTCCAGGGCCGTGGCCTGCTGCTACCTGTTAACCTGCTTCTCAACTGCCAGTTCCTTCTGGAAAGGAAGGAAGAGTATGTGCTGACCTATCTGGGTGGTGGTGATTTTGCCATCTGTCTTAAATCAGCTGCCAGGGTAATGAACAGTCTTTGCCCACAGGCTTCTGGTGGTGTTACTCAGCTGTTTCTCATCCTACAAATGCCCTCAACACAAGGAGGCTGCAGTGCAGAGCGGCCACCCACCTGGGGGAAGGAGAATGGACTCAGTTCGTTGAGGGAAAAACAGTCCAAAGTGAGTGCCCTTGCCTCTGCCTCCGAGCTGTGCAGTCACGGAGCCTCCACAGACAGTGGAACCGTAGCTGTGGGGAGGACGGGAGCCCGAGCTGTGCAGCCACGGAGCCTCCACAGACAGTGGAACTGTAGCTGTGGGGAGGACGGGAGCCCGAGCTGCGGACCTCACCCTGAGCTCCTTTGCAGAAGGCATTTCTGAATTGGTAGAAGGCTGGGCTAAAATATGTCCACAATTGTTTCCAATCTTAGTGCATGCCTACAGTGTCAGGCACTGTTGTTGATACTAAAGGACACATCAGCGGAAAATGAGACAATGTTCCTGTTCTCATGAAGCTTCTACTTTATACAGAGGGACATATACAAACAGAAGTTTACATTTCCCTAAGTGTTAAGGTAGCAGGGAGTGTGGGAAGTCATCCAGTCAGTGCTGTGCCAAGGTCCCTCTAACCCGGCAGTATCGAGCACGTGTCTGCATCAAGTAAGGAGCAACACAGGGAATCCACAGTGTTCCCAGCGGAGGAGAGAGGTAAACAGCACTGAGGTGGGCTGGTCTCTCAGGCACAGCAAGGATGGAGTGACAGCAAGTGAAGCAGAGAGCAGGGCGGCAGGTGGGGGGACTGGGTGTACAGGAGCGGAAAGGGACAGCAAGGATGTGAGGTGGGAAAGCACTGCAGGGTTGGGCAAAGCGGTGACATGATCCAATCCAACGGGAGGAAGATAACCCTCTGGTGGAGACCAGACTACAGGGCCCACAAAGGTATAAGCAGAGAAGCCAATGAGAAGTCATCTGGGCAAGAAACGAGCGGGACGGGGCCAAGGTGATTGTGTTGGAACAAGCTGGCTGAGTCTAACCAGGGGCAGCTGTGCCTGGGAAACTGGGAAAAGGCAGAGAACTGGTCCTGCTGGCTCAAGCTGCTACAGGATGTAAGCAAAGCTGATCACAAACAAGCGACTTCTCAGGACCAACTCTGGGTCTAAATGAGGGCACTGGAGACGTGTCTTCTCATTCAGGATGCTGACCAGCCTTTCTCAGTCTTACTCGGAAACGATCAAAGCCATTATAGCAAAAGGTATACCACTTCAGACCAGACGGAATGTCATTTCCCCAATTCTGTATATACGAGATGTCTTTTAAGCAATGGACATATAAGAAAAAGGAAACACATAGGTAAATATTAATCCAATGATTCTCTACTTTTGTCCTAATAAAATAATCATTATAGTTCATTTAACTTTCACATAAAGATCTGTAAAAGCTGGGATACCAGATAGTGACTGGAAAAAAAGTGCATCATGAAATGCCGTTAAAGCCGAGGACCTGCAGCCTACCGTGGTGATGTAGCGGGAGTGGAATTCCGGGGCGTCTCTCAGGAACGTCAGGCCGGGATGTGTATCTACCACATCCTGAAACAGACCGGAAGCAAAACCAAATTGACAAACCGAAACAAAGTATGCCTATCGGATTTACCAGTAAGTTATAAATGGACCAAATTTGCTATTTTAGAATACTGAATAATACATCTAAAATTAATACTTTCTCATAGTTTATTACAGGTATGTTTAAGTATGCCTTTTTGCGTGCATATTTCAACAAAAAGTTAAGATTTTTAGATTTAGCTATACTTGGAGATTTGTGAATCAAGTGTTTCAGAGGAATGTACTGTAATTTTAAAATATTGAGGCATCTCAGGGAAATTAATCCAACAGATTTTGGTAGGGGTTGCTAAGTGATATTTATTTAGAATTAATGATGAACACAAATCTATGAGAGTGATTCTTTTTCTTAATCTAGTTACATGGAAATTCTTGTTAAAAAACAGCCTTACAGGGCCCGACGCGGTGGCGCAAGTGGTTAAAGGTCCTCGCCTTGCACGCCCGGGATCCCATATGGGCGCCGGTTCTAATCCCGGCAGCCCTGCTTCCCTTCCAGCTCCCTGCCTGTGGCCTGGGAAAGCAGTGGAGGACGGCCCAAAGCTTTGGGACCCTGCACCCGCGTGGGAGACCCGGAAGAGGCTCCTGGCTTCGGATCGGCCCGTTGCGCTCACTTGGGGAGTGAATCATCGGACGGAAGATCTTCCTCTCTGTCTCTCCTCTCTGTATATCCGCCTTTCCAATGAAAAAAATAATAAAAATAAATCTTTAAAAAAAAAAAAAGACCACTTCCCTGAATTAAAAAAAAAAACAACAAAAAAAACAGCCTTACAGCTAAGTAGGCTGAAATTTTTCTATGATGAGTGAACTGGCTAATATCCATTCTTTTTTTAATAAAAATAATTGTGTGTCAAATCTGTTTTGCAATTTTGGGTTTTATTCGAAAACATGCTATTTTTTTTTTTAATTGGAAAGGCAGATATACAGAGAGGAGAGACAGAGAGGAAGATCTTCCTTCTGATGGTTCACTCCCCAAGTGACCGCAACGGCTGGAGCTGAGCCAATCTGAAGCCGGGAGCCAAGAGCTCTTCCGGGTCTCCCACATGCAGGTGCAGGGTCCCAAGGCTTTGGGCCGTCCTTGACTGCATTCCCAGGCCACAAGCAGGGAGCTGGATGGGAAGTTGGTGCTCATATGGGATCCCGGCGTGTTCAAGGCAAGGACTTTAGTTGCTAAGCCATTGCACCGGGCCCTGCTATCTTATTCTTACTAAGACTATTAGCACATTAAAACCTTGAAAAGATCGTTTTCATTTTCTGGATTGAAGCACTGTGGATGAGCATAGAGTATCTGTTAGATACTCATTGTTGATTTATAAACCACAGGCCAACCCAGATGTCGCCTGTTAACTAGCTGAGCAACAGTAACTGGATCTTGGCTGTTCTGCTTTGTTTCTTCACAGCAGTTTGCTAAGCCTCGCTCCCAACAGAGTCTAAAAACAATGGGCTTTACTGTTTCTTAAACTTTTTTAAAAAAAGATTTATTTTTATTGGAAATTCAAATATACAGAGAGGAGGAAAGACAGAGAGGAAGATCTTCCATCTGCTGAATCACTCCCCAAGTGATGGCAATAGCCAGAGCTGAGCCAAGCCAAAGCCAGGAGCTTCTTATGTGGGTACAGGGTCCCTAGGTGCAAGGGTCGTCCTCGACTGCTTTCCCAGGCCACAAGCAGGGAGCTGGATGGGAAGTGGGACCACTGGGACACGAACCGGCACCCGTACAGGATCCTGGCACATTCAAGGTGAGGACTTTAGCCACTAGGCTATCACACCCGGTCCTTCTTAAACTTCTTAGCTGGACAAAGACGTACAGATGCAAAATATATTACAGAGAATTTCCTAAACCGTTTACTCCATCGCTCATAATGGGGACAGCACAATGATCAAAACAGAAATGAATGTTGACAAAATACTGCTTCAAAAAATGTTTTCAATAAAAAATTTTTAGAAAGATTTATTTATTTGAAAAATCAGAGTTATATAGAGAAAGAGAGAGGTGGAGGAGAGTGAGGGGAAGAAAAAGGGAGAAGAGAAAAAAGAGGGGCGAAGAAGAGGGGTAAGGAACACAGGCTTCCATTTGCTGCTTCACTCCCTAGGAGGCTGCAGCACCAGGCCAGGCCAGGGCCAGGGCCAGGACTTCAGCCAAGTCTGAACACTCGGGTTATCCCCTGCTACTTTCCCAGGCCATCAGTAGGGAACTGGATTGGAAGTGGAGTAACCAGGACTCGAGCTGCTGTCCATATGGCATGCCAGCATTGCAAGAGGAGGCTTTATCAGCGATTCCATATTGGATCAGTTTTCATGGATTCATTTTTCCTCACTCATAGAGGTCTTTTCTTGTTTGTTCTAAATGCCTGGGACGTATGACATTATGAACTGCTTTGAGTGCTATATATTTTTGTATTCTTTGCATTTGAAAGGCAGAGTTACAGAGGACAAATACACTACACACACATACGGGGGGTGGGGTGGAGAAAGAGAGAACAAACCAGCTTGGTATAGCCTATCCACCTTCTTGGCCTTTGCCATCAGGTGCTGCAGCCTGACCTGTCCTGGCCCACCCCCAGCCCCAACTCTCACTGGCAGCCTAGCCCTGCCCAGACTGCTCTCATCCCTGGCTCATGTAAACCAGCAGGTGTGATAGCCTAATCTGGCATGACCTGCATTCCAGCCTGGCTCCTGCACATGCCAGTGAGCTAGGTTGGTCTGGCCATGCCTGACCCACCCCTCTCTAGAAACAAGCCACACACTCACAGCATCTGATGGCAAAGGCCAAGAGGGCAGATGGGCTACACCAAGCTAGGTCAGAACAACCACTGGCATGTGCAAAATCTGTGGCTGGGAACAGGCTTGGCTGGGGATGTTCCGACTGGGTTCTGGTTCCCATGGTGAGCATGAGAGCCGGAATGGGGGTGGTGATCTGGGCTAGACATGACTTCAGTGTCCCTTGGATTGGGTGTGGACTGGGTCTAGGATGTGCCAGACTGGGCTAGACTCCAGCACTCACTGGTGCTCATGACAGCCAGGGTGGGTATAGGATGGGCTGAACTAGCTCTTGGTACCCACTTGAACCACATGAGAACTGTGTCTGGTTGTGAACCAGGTGTAGTTGGGTTGTAGCATCGAATAACAAGAACCAGAACAGGTATGAGCAAGTTGGGCAAGCCCACTGTTCCTGCGAGGACAGGAGGTGGACTCTTATCAGACTAGGTCATGCATGCACTAGTGTGCATGAGATATGCCACCAGCATAAGCTGGAACTGGGGGCAGACCAAGCTGGGCCAAGCTACAGCACTTGCCAGTTAATGCCAAAATGTGGCCAGCCATGCCAGACTGGGCCACAGCACCCACCAGCACATGTGAAACCCCTGAGGAGGAGTGCAAACCCGGGAGAGGGGGGGCGCTGGGGGCTCTCTTACTAGGCCACTTCTCCAGCATCAGAACTGGAACCGGGGGCAGATAAGGCTAGGCAGGGTTACAACACCTCTTGGCTTCCATGTGAGCTGGGTTAGGAGTGAGCCAGGCTGGGCCAACCAACTGTATTCATAGGGGAAGGACTGAGCCAGAGTAAATGCAGACTGGTTGGGCTTTGCTGCAGTATCTGCTGGTAAGTGCTGGGACTGGGGGCAAGTCATACCAGGCAAGACTGCAGAACCACCGGAGAGTGCAAGATCTGGGACTGGGCCCACTAGGGAAATTGTGGGCACCTTGCTGATGGGCTGCAACTGCAACTGGTGAGCATGAGAATCAGGGCAAGGGTGGGCCTGGACAGACAGGTGGCACCTGCCGGCATGAGTGTGGGCTGGCTAGTGGGATTGGTTGAGTTGAGCTAGGTTTCAACACCCACTATGTATATGAGAGCTGAATGGGATGTGGGACAGACTGGACCAGTCTGCTGCACCTACTGGCAACACCGGAACCAAGGCTAGGAGATGCTGGGACTAGGCTGTACTCCCACTGTCGAACATGCGGGCCAAGTATGTGGTGGGCAGGGTCGGGCTGAACTGCAGCATCCATTGGCTTACCTAAGAGACAGGGCTGGAGATAGTACAGCACTTGCAACTACCAGTGTGTGTAGGCTGTCATGGGTGACAGACTGAGCCAGACTGAGCCGGACCCCAAACTGGCAAACACACAACGGTCAGGTCTGGGATTGCCTCAGACAAGGTTTGGGGATCCTCCTCAGCTGAACCGCTCTCCTATATGCTGAATACTATAACACACAGAGCTTAAAGTTTCAAAAACCAGAAAAAGTAAAATGAAAGAACTATATAAAATATATATATGAGAGAAATATATCATTGTTTCATTTATTTGGTTCCATCAGTGAAAGATGTTCCATGTGAGTTTTCTGGTAAAGACAGAATCTACATTAATAATATAAATTACTGATCTTGGCTGAAGCTCAGGACTGGCGACTACCATTCTTAAATAACTCCTAGACTGGAGTGCTTTTGCAATTCTTGGTCTCTTTTTTCTCTTAGCTTTTCTTGTTCTCACTGTCTTTACAGTCGGCAGCAGCTGTGTCTGTGGATCTTGGTGGATTCAAGCCTAGGTAGCCTCTTCCCTCCACCCCTGTTTTTTCCCCCCTATTTTAATATTGATTCCACTAACTGTTGGGTTGAAAAATCAGGAACCCAGGCATTTTAGAAGTTTGCTTAGACCCCAAGTTGTGGCTGTGATACCTTTATAGCCTTTTCCTGCCACCTGCCAGGTGTTCTATGATGTTCTGTGCTAGCTGAATCCAAGTGATTTTATTGAATTCTAACATTTCTGAAAGTGCTTCAGATGGGACTGTGAACGGGCATGGAAAGGCTGAGTGAGCCTGTTCTAATTTCTACTAAGGACTTGCTCTTAGAATTTATTCAATAATGCTAATTTGCTAAGACAAATTAGAAAAGTTTTGTTCTAGAATTCTGACCTTAGTCTGTGTAGCTCAACTGACATGCTACAGTGGCACCATTTTTCCCAAGAGACTTTTGTGTTTCCTTTTAGTCACCCGTGTGTTGGTTACTCAGTGGCGTTTTTTTCATGGTGCTGTAATTTGTTGTGGATGTTGTTGTTGTTGTGGTTGTTGTTCTAACTCATACCAGTTGTTGACCTTGTTTCATGGCTTCTCAATTATGGAAATGTACAGTGATGGAATACTTGGGTCTACCATATCCAGATGTGGGGGTACAATGCAGCACGCATCCCTGGTTCCAGACGAAAGATGGATTCCCAATGAAACTGTTGGACTTGTGTAGACAATGGGATACTGGACTGTCTGACATTGTCTGTATCACCAATGTTGGGATACACTTAAAGAGACTGATAGAATTATGATTCCTTATGAAGGACTACACCATTGTAGTAAAATGGGGAAAATCTGTTGGAGGGTGGGAGTTTGGGGGGAATCCCAGTCTATACGAAATTGTATCACACAATTCAAAATTCAAAATAAAAATATATTAAAAAAAACCTCTCTGAAACCCCAACAAAGGCAGGACCCAATTTCAAAAGGAAGTACAAATTACCTGAAGTAAAGGGATGAAGTCCTCCTGTTCTAGGAAGCTGCAGTTGGGCTTGGCCAGCAGGTTGATGAACTTAGAGGCGTCATCATGATGGTTATTCAGCAACCTGCAAAAAACAGCAGCTTAGGACATGCTGCTCTGGGAAACAAGACCACAACACCCACACTGGTCTGCAGTCGGACCTGAAGGCCATTACATTAGGTGCTCTTTATTCACAGATGAAGAAAACGGAGTGATGGGTGTTTTGACAAGTGCGTTCAACCACTACCTGGGATACCAACATACTATTAGAGTGACAGCTCGGGTCCCAGCTTCTCCACTTCCCAGAGAGCTTCCTACTAGTGCAGTCAGGAAGCTAGTGGAAGACTGTCCCAGTACTTGGATTCTCAACACTCACGTAGGATATCCAGATGGAGTTTTGGCCCCCTGGCTTGGTTTGCCCAGCCTTGGCTGTTGTAAGCATTTGGGGAGTGAAGTGTAGCTGGAAGCTCTCTCCCTTCCATTCCGCTCGCCACAGTATCTGTCTTTCCTTCTCTGCAACACTGCCTTTCAAATGAGTAAATCTCTTAAAAAATTTAAAAGAGGAATTTTTTCTTGCTCTTGATTTTGTGGAAAGAACATATGAGCTGAAAAATAAGGTGATGCATTACTTTTTAAACTGCTTCTGAGACTGAGACCGGAGTCAACTAAATTAATGTAGGTAAGTATGTACTGAGATACACGTAACAGAAAATGTCCACCCAGACTAGCACAGGAAATGTGGGGTCGGAGCCTTGAGGAGACACATCAGAGGGACAAGTGCATGCCCAGGTCGACAACATACATATTCAGTGCCAAGTTGATAAGGAGTGTTTGAAACTAGAATTTGAATAGGTTTTAAATAAAAACACTGTACTAATTATACTAAGTTTTGAGAATTTCTTGCCTCTAATTATTTGCTGGACTTTTATCTCCATGAGGAGATAAAATTTAGGTACTAAGGTAGAAATATTAAAAACCAAATATAAAATCTTAATGCTGAAGTTAATGCTTTTTCTGGACATTTTTACTAATGATGGTACCATGTTGAGTTATCTGGGCTCACAACTCAAAAATTGATTTCTCTGCCTCCATTCTCCATGATTTAATCATGTTCTGAATTTTTTTAAAGATTTATTTATTTTTATTACAAAGTCAGACATACAGAGAGGAAGAGACAGAGGGGAAGATCTTCCATCCAATGATTCACTCCTTAAGTGACCACAATGGCTGGTGCTGTGCCAATCTGAAGCCAGGATCCAGGAGCTTCTTCTGGGTCTCCCATGTGGGTACAGGGTCCCAAGGCTTTGGGCCATCCTTGACTGCTTTCCCAGGCCATAAGCAGGGAGCTGAATGGGAAGCGGGGCTGCCATTGGGATCCCGGCGCATGCAAAGCAAGGACTTTAGCCACTAGGATACCATGCTGGGCCCTTGTTTTTGTTCTTTAACCACTGAATACTATGTAGTAAATATTGTGTCTCATTTTGAAGATGTCTGGAGCTTAACCAAAAGGAGTCTTCAGAAATTAATGGAAAAATGAAATTACAAGATCATGTGTATTTTCTAGAACTTTTAAAGCAAAAATTAGTTTATCTTTATTGGAAAGTCAGATATAAAGAGGAAGAGATATAGAGAGGAAGAGAGACAAAGATCTTCCATCCACTGGTTCATTCCCCAAGTGGCCTCAATGGCTGGAGCTGAGCCAAACTGAAGCCAGGAGCCACATGGATGCAGGGTTACAAAGCTTTGGGCCATCCTTGACTGCTCTCCCATACCACCAGCAGGGAGCTGGATGGGAAGTGGGGTAGCCGGGATATGGACCAGCATCCATATGGGACCCTGGTGCATGCAAAGTGAGGACTTTAGCCATTAGGCTACCGTGCCAGGAACCTCCATGAACTTTCTGAAACTCCCCCATACAGTACATTTTTATGCCCTGTTAGGAGTTTATAATCTAGTGAGAGAACGACACCAGCACTTTACTACTGTGGAACAGACAGTACAAAAATATTATCACAGGCTGTTTTGGAAGGACACAGGTGCCCAGTGAGAATCTCTGGAAAGCAAACTGTGAAGAAGGATGTTGTATTAAGACGAGTAGTATTGAAATGCTCAGCATGAAATGCATGGAGCATGAAGGCAACACGTGCAAGGACTGAAGAGAAGGGGGAGTAACACAGCTGTCTGTCAGGTGAGATACATGTAGGCAGGTCCAACCTGAGAGGCCCTTTAAAGTCAGGTCAAGACTGGGTTTTATCCTGCTTCACTCAAGAATTTTCATTTCAGAAAAAAATTTTTTTTTTTGAAACATCAAGCCAGAAATAATGAGTGCCTACGCCCGGATAATGGTGGTGAAAGAACAATGAGGGGACATGGTAGTTGATAAGTATGGAAAGTGACAGGGGAGAGGTAGTTTAACTAAACTCCCGTGTTTCTAGCTTGGACCATTAGCTGCCTGAAGCGTGGAATGTGAATACTGAGATCTTAAGGCATCTTAGACAACTGTTCGCTTTCTACTTCCACCAAGCCCCAAACACAGGGTCGTGTAATTCCACACGGAGACTGCTAGCAGGGGAGAGGCTCTTACTAGGCTTTGGTGCTCATCCAACCTTACATTGTAGACCAGCCATCATTCTAAAACACTGCCGCTTATTCAAACATGTTCAGTTACTGTCTCCCATTGAAGGATTTCTAGAACTGGGTTTGCGCCTACCGATCCACTTTACGTTTCTCTAGATGACACCGTCCACTCAAGGCAGCTGAGCTGACTTTACTGTCATTCTTCTCTGACTTTGTACCTCCCCTAAGAGTGCTCCTTCCTGAAGGACTAGCCAGTAATCAGCTTCTTTCCAAAAGCTTTCCTTGACAAATAAAACCCTACTGATCTAGTAATATTTAATTTCTACATACTGCACATGCCATTGTATCACTTTCTTTCATCTCTCTGGGACCTGAGGGACAAATAACAGCTCTTTTCTTTCTTACCACACAGTGACTTGGATATAGATGACTCTCAAAAAACATGTTTGTGATCTAACAAATTCAGATAGTTAAGTAATTTCATTCCTGATTATTAAACTATAATGGAGCTTTTTAAAACATTATTTGTTTTCATCTTATTTGAAAGGCAGAGAGACAGATATTCCATGTGCTCGTTCACTCCCCAAGCGGCCAGTGCTGCAAGAGAACCTGAAAGTCAACCCAGATCTCCTGTGAGGCGCTCAGGCCCCCAGGGACTTGGACTGCTGACTGCTGCTTGGCAGCTCGCCTTCTCAGGACGCTCCCGCTCCGAGGTGCCTCGAGCCAAGGTCTCAGCTATACAATCAATACCAGTGCTCCAAACAGGAACTTCATTACTGCACCAAGTGCCAGTCCTATACTTCTCTTCATCATTCTGGAGCATGTTAGCTCCAGGCTCCCAAAGCCGAATAAATACCCATTTCAGATAAGATTACCAAATGGGTGTGATGAGCACGACAGAAAAGCAGTGAGGTCTTTGTTAGGGTTCAAATATGAATTAGCTCTCAAACTCATGCATGACCTGAAGCTCCCTAATCTTAAACTGAATCCAGCTCTGTTGCAGTGGGAGGTGCTTTAGTCACTGGGGATGTGCTCTAGGAAGAGAAGTCTTCCTTTCTCTGTTTCTTGGGTTACCACGTCTATATGGGCTCCCCAGCGGTACCATGTACCGCCCTCATGAGTCGTCAAACAAGTGGTGCGGCCCAGTCTTGGACTTAACACTCCAAAATTCTGAGCTAAATAAACCTTTTGTTACAAAGCTCCTTTCCTTAGTGCTTTTGTTGTAGTAATAAAAAGTTGACTAGAAAATTGCCACGGAGGAATGCAGTCATCACTTACCCACTATAAACAAACCAGAGCTTTTGGAATTGGTTTACCATAAAAAGCAGGAAACGTTTGAAACACTGGGGAAAGAGAAGGCCTAGGATATGATAAACGGGGTGTTGGGAGTGACTCAGGAGATCAGAATGCTAACAAAAACGTGGACAAAGGGCTATGCTGATGAGGTTTCATATGCAAATCAGGATTCTACTGGGAACTGAACTAAAGAAACACTTATTGCACTGGGGCAAAGAATGTTGTTCACTGTATACAAACCTGAGGTTTTATGGGAGACAACTTAAAGGCGATGGACTAGGTTATTTGGTGGAAAAGATTGCAAGGCAGCAACACTGGAATTCAGGCTTATGGAATGAGCATTACTGGTTGCTTTTAAATTTTTTTCAGTTTCACAGACTCTGAGATAAAAGGAAGACAAACAGAATGTTTTTGGAAATTCACAGCTTGGCCAGTGAAATAATGAAGAAAAAGTGGGTTGTTTCAGACAGAAGAGTGCAACAGAGAAACTATTTGCTTAAGAAGCAAAGGGAGCCCTATGTTACTCAGCAAAACACTGGGATTGCAGAAATCTCCCAGACACCCTCTCTGCTACCACAGGCCTACAACCTGGAAAAGCAGAGTTGTTTCATGGAAGCCCAGGCACCATTCTCTGGCTTTACCAAGCACATGAGGGAACTGACTTCCCGCCCCTCCGCCAGTGAAGCGCCCTGGATGCCGCTACAGTTCAGGGAGGTACAAGTGCAGCTGTGACGGCATCAATCATATTTTGCTGATTTTGAATGTATGAAGGTCAGAGAAGTCACGGGGGTTTCCCAGTAAGATTTCAAAGGAAAGGGGCTGGTGCTCAACAGGCTAACCTTCCACCTCCAGGCACTGGCATCCCATACGGTATCCCATATGTACTGGCTGCTCTACTTCTCATCCAGCTTCTTGCTTATGGCCTGAAAAAGCAGTGGAGGATGTCTCAAGTCCTCAGGCCCCACATCCACTCAAGCGACAAGAAACTGTTCCTGACTCAGCTCTGGATCAGCTCAGTTCTGGCTGTTGTGGCCATTTGTAGAGTGAATCAGACAAAGGAAGATCTTTTTCTGTCTGTTCTCCCTGTAAACCTGCCTAATAAAAATAAATCTTTAAAAAAAGAGAAAGATTTCAAAGGAAAGTCTGGGAGGTGAGGCAGGATTGCTCTGTAGGGCTGGAGTCTCTGCCTGGAGCCCCTGATGGAGCAATGTCTACTGGAGTGGTGGGAGTAAAGCTGTAAAGGAGAACCTAGCAAGGCAGGGATGCAGGCAAAATGAACTACCTACCAGGGAAAGCTGCAAGCATCAGCAGAGATGAGATGTGGCTGGAATAGCAAGGCCACAGGGGCAGGGCTGCCCAAGACCTAGAAGCTGTCCTGCCACAATGTGCCAGGATGATGTCTAACGTTCCCCTACTGAGTTTCAGTCTTGCTGTGGACTAATTCATTCTTCCTGTTTTCTTGTCTGCCTTTGCTGGAATGGAAATATATCCAGTCTACTGGATCTTGAAGATTTGCAGCTTCAAAAAATTCTTTTACAAGTCGATTTTTCTTTATACCATGAGAGGCAGACAGAGTGAGTGAGCATACACACACTCACTTCCCAGGTGATCTCAATGGCTGGGGCTGGAGCCGGAAGCCAAGAACCCCACAGAGGTCTCCGGAGAGAGCCATTCTGCCGCCTCTCAGGGTGTGCATCTGAAGAAATCTGGAACAAGGAACTGATCCAGGCATTCTGATGGCATGTTGGTATCCGAACCAGCATCTTCTTAACAGCTAGGCCAAACTCCACCCCACAACAGTTTGTTTCTGTTTTTTTTTTTAAATAGGGGATTATGGTTAAGTGAATTTGCCTTGTCCCTTAGAGGTAAGAATTTAGATTTTGGAATTAATGCTAGACTGAGTTAAGCCTTTGGTACTATTGGGAGTGGAGTGACTGTTTGGTATGAGAGAAGGACATGAGTTTTAGGCAGCCAGGGTAGAATGCTATGATTTTAACATGATTTGTTTCTCAAACTCATGAGTGATTTTAAACCTCAGAGTCTTAGGCAGATGTCCTAAGAAGGTGGAAACTGGATCTAGTGATGGTTCTTGGGAGCTGGGCTTATCAGATGATCTTTACACTGGCAGGGTGTCCCTCAGCAAAGATTTGTCATTGAAGACCGGGTGAGTCTCGGTCTGTCCGCACATCATTTGCTGTTTCCGGCTCACCATGGGATCCTCCCTTGGCATGAGCTCGGCCATTGCCTTCCACTACCTGCATCAGAACTCAAACCACTACGCTGCCTCATCCTAGACTGCAACCTTCACACACTTGAACTGAATAGACCTTTTCTCCTCACAAAGGCAGAGCTATTACATGTTTCATTGTAATGAAGAGTTCATGAATACTTTGGTAAAGAGGAGAACACTATTAAATAGGAACAGCAGAGATACAACAGATAATATTCCAAGAGATACAAAGCCAAATCAGGAATGGCATTTAAAATTACAAGTATGAACTAGAAATATAATGTGAATTATAATTTTTTTTTGGCAAATGCTACAAGCTGATAAACTCTAATAGCAAGTTATAAAGCATGAAGAATGATGGTAAGCATGGCTATCTTACAGTAGTGTCTTCTAGAAGTTCCAATGCAAAATATTGTTTTGTTTATGAAAAAAAATGACACACTGGTATGAAAAAGGAAAAGAAAGCATAAGCTAAGCATTCTTTCCAATTCCTTTTGCGTTCCCTCTGAAGACTGGGAATGTGGGAATGGAAGCAAAAAGCAGTGTCCCCTGCCTGTAAGCAAACACACGGCAGGGTACAGATCCCAGCTGGCAGCAGGCCTGGGCACAAGCTGACCAGGAGAGGCAGCGGAGAACGGCACGGAGGAAACTCAAGCCTCCGACCCGTGCGAGTATTCCCCTTTGTCCTAATGACTTGCATGATTTGGCTTCATTTTATATAAAGCTTGTTACTGGAGCAAGTCCATGTGCATACACACATGGCATCATGTCTGAATTCATTATCATGGTCAGCTAGGTTTTTTTGTAACTGAAAGGTTTTTTTTTTTTTTAAGATTTATTTATTTTTCTTGGAAAGGCGGATCATTTACAGAGAAGGAGCAACAGAAAGATCTTCCATCTGCTGGCTCACTCCCCAAATGGTCGCAACAGTTGCAGCCAATAAAAACAAATAAATCTTAAAAAAAAAAAAGAAAGAAATTAGCAAAATAAACTCATCTTCTCCAAAGTCAGCATGTGGAGTCATCATGCTTGGATTTTTAAAACAACCATCTTTGGGTCTCCATGAAAGCATCCTGATTTTTTTTTTTTTTTTGCAAAGTCAGATACACAGAGAGGAGGAGAGACAGAAAGGAAGATCTTCTGTCCAATGATTCACTCCCCAAGCGGCAACAATGGCCAGAGCTGCATCTATCTGAAGCCAGGAGCCTGGAGCCCCTCTGGGTCTCCCACGCAGGTGCAGGATCCCAAGGCTTTGGGCCGTCCTTGACTGCTTTCCCAGGCCACCAGCAGGGAGCTGGATGGGAAGTGGAGCCTCTAGGATTAGAAATGGCACCTGAAGGGACTGTGTCCCAATGAAGGAGTTTTTTTGTGCTCTTAAAAAGCCTTTTAAAAGCCAGGATGCTGGGCCCAGCACAGTAGCCTAGCTGCTAAAGTCCTAGCCTTGAATATGCAAGGATCCCATATGGGTGGTGGTTCCTCATTCCTGGGTGCGTGTGGAAAGTCATGAGTGGTTTCCCCTTCTGTCTCTCCCCTTCCCCTGGAAACAACAAGAAATAGGAAATTTGGAAGCAATGAATTCACCCACTTTTCCCTAAACCTTGATGCTTCCCACCCTGATCAACCATGTAATCATTAAAAAATAAAATTTATATATATAAAAAGAGCACAACAAGTAATCCCCACTAGAGGGCACTCAAACCATTTTAGTATCTGAGTGTAAACTAGTGCTTTACTGCACACCCATGTGTACTGTGTGTGTGCATACACACACTCTTACCAATTCTATAGAATTTTCTTTTTTTAATGAAGAAAGAGAGACAGTTGCGTATGCTATGTATCGTCATAAGCAGCCTCCTATTATTACCTAATGTGAACACTTCTGTACCCTGTTTTTCTCTTTGCTTTCAGCAGAAATCTCTTTTCCTGACAGATAAAACGACTCAGCTGCTGTGAAGGGCTACGGGCACTGTGCCACTCCGTCTCACTTTCCAAGTGACATGCAACTTTAACCAAAACTTGACTTCCTCTTCTTTAGATTAAGCAGTTAGATAGGTAGATAAAACTGGACACCAATTTTTCTTTGCTATATGGTCAGCCTCAGGTTCACAAACAGGGCTCTAGAAAGTTCAAAATAGAATATTCTGATGGTACTAGTGGTGATTATCATCTCTAGCTCCAATGTCTCCTAAATACACTCCTTCCCTTTCTGGCAGTCTCCCAGTTGGTTCCAAGTTTTGTCTTACTCAAAACTTACTTCTTGCTGCTTAACCTATTGTTAGATGGTTTCTTCCAAAAAAACCCTGAGCTCAGTAGCTGAATACAACACTGCCAAGAGCTGTGTCATTTCCTTTTAACACAGCATTTATTACCAAGTAGTGTATGCGCTAGACTCTATAAATAGAACAACCAGTTAACTGATGGTCAGGAATTCAATCAAGGTTTCCCACATGAGTGGCAATGGGCTAACAGCTCATCCACAGACGGCTGTCTGCCAGGGTGTGTATGCACATGAAGCTGGAATGGAGCACGGAGATGGGGCTCCAAAGTCAGGAATTCTAACACGGGATGTGATGCCTTGACTGGCATCGTAACCACTAGATTAAACGTTTACTCCGTCTCTCCATTCTTGGTGCTCCTTGTTCACACGCCAGCTGAGGCCTGTTCGAGTCTGAGTCAAAGAAGCTAGCTCAATGGAAGCTAAAACATCTTACGTTCTTGAAAGCTGCTTTTACCATATGCCAACTTAAAAACACAAAACTGTCCTACTGTTTAGATCTCAGGCTCTTCCTCCCTCCCCACGTTCCAGGCTGCCAGAAAGCCAACGCCAGTTCCTTTGCTGGTTTACGCTTACTAATTAGTACTATTTTCCTATTTATAGACTCCAAGGAATTCCCTTACTTTTGTAACTGCTTATCCAAACATTAAAAAAATACATTTATTTTACCAGACAGCTTTCTCTTTAATTTAGGAGAGATGAAACTCAGCTTTTGAAGCCATTCAGATGCTGAAGTAAGGAATGAAATTTCAGATATTTGGACAATTTAGAACTGTTCTCTGAACAAAATGATTAAAATGCAGCTAGACACCAAGAAGCACTTGTAGCTTTTGGCTTGAGTTTAATTTTCTTCTTTTTAAAAAGGAAGCTCCTTAACTGGTGTTTTTTTTTTTTTAATATCATTGTTATTTTAGTTTTAATGTGATGCGTGAAGAACTTAGTAAACTCAGCTTGCTGCTGGATTTTAAAACCGAGAACGTGTTTACCAGTCATTGACTGTTCTCCAGGATGGGTGGCGGGGGGACTGCAGGCCCTGCAGGCAGAGTTCTGCTGGTGTTGTACTCAACAGTTACTCCGTCTCTCCATTCTTGGTGCTCGTGTGGATGATGAGGATGATGATAGCAATAGTGATAACGGTTACAGGTGAAGAGAATGTCTGACTACTGTGACACCTGCCAGGATGTAAACGCCAGGACACTCTGATAAATATAGTTCTTTGCTGTTAACCGGAACTTTCAAAGAGCAACGGTGAAACCTGTTAGAATTTACCTGTTTTTAACAAGTCAACTAGATACATTTCTAAATTACATCACAAGAACGGAACTGTATTTTTCACGTGATGCATATGGCTTGCGCCCCTCACAGGAGAGTCCTAATTAACTCTGATGCCACTGCTGTCTGATTCAAATCCTGGGGACAAACTGAACAAGTAAAATTAGGAAACTATCAAACAGCTCTTAAGGAGGTATTTTTGCAGATCTGTGTCACTGTTCAAAAGGCATGTATGATAAAGGCTTGCGGCAAGGAGCTTGTGGGTGAGTATAAATGTTGAAATCACTGAATTTTCTAATGAAATAAGAGGGAAAGAAAAAAATGAATACATAAGTTGGTACTACTTTATAAAGTGTGTCCCACAGCACTTCATCTAGCCCCAGAGTGATGCCTCACATGCTTACCTTCTCCACAGGGCAAGGAAGGACTGCGCCGACACAAACCCTGTCTTCTCTCCCCCTGCAGCCCTGAACATGGGGGCTTTCCAGTACAGAGGACAGCCACAGACCTGCAAGTAAAGGACAGCAGAGTAATGCCATGGCCAGAGAAAAGGCCTCTGTGGAACAAAACTAGAGCACATACAACTCTGTTAATTAAGGTAGAAGTGGGGGAGAGGGGGGAGGAAGGCACGACTGCAAAAACCATGTTTAAAGAAAATGTAAATCCAGTTATCTTCCCTCCACGTTCATTCACTGTGACTTCCCGTCCCCACACACCTTGGTAGTTAAAGCAACCTCTTTCCTGTCCTGCCTCCCTTGTATCACATATTTTAACAAAAAGCTTTCATTTTAAAAAACGTATCCCTTCACTCTTTATAAGAGATCTAGCTAAATTTACTTCCCTTTTCCCTAGTAGAAAATTCTTCCTTATAACTAATAGCTTCTAAATATTAGCAGAGAAGCAATCTCCAAATTTTCCTAATTTTACCTGTTCCAAAAAAAACTCATATTCATAAATGTAGAACTCTTCAAAGAGTTACAACTTACTATCAGATAAAGATATTCTTCAGGGGCCGGCATTGTGGCACAGCCAGCAAAGCCACTATCTGATGCAGGCATCCTCTGAGTGCTGGTCCCTGTCCTGGCTGCTCCACTTCCAATCCAGATCCCTACCATTTGTACCTGGGAAGGCAGAAGAGGATGGCCCAACAGCTTGGGGTCCCTGCAACCATGTGGGGGACCCAGATGGAGTTTCTGCCTTCTGGTGTTGGTCTGGGATAGTCCTGGCTTGTAGCTCATTTAGGGGAGTGTGGAAGATCCCTCTCTATATAACTCTGCCTTTCAGATAGTAAATAAAGAAATCTTTTTAAAAAAACCATATTAATCATACTGAATATACAATCTGAGCCTTCATCATTTTATCTCCTCTCTGGACATATTATACACATGCACCTGGTATGAGGTCAGTGTGCAGGGCATCCCCTAGGAGCCTCGAGAAGCCTCCATGTGACAGAAGTTACCCCGAGAGGGCATCCCGTGCCCCTGCTGGTTTAGGCCAGAGATAAGGCTGGATGAGAAAGGCAAGATTCAAGCTAGGGGAAGAAAGGACAAAGCAGAAATACCAGGGGGCTGCCGTTGGGGCCACTAAGGCACATTCTGTACGAAGAGTAGAATTCGTAAAATTATCTTAAGTCCAGAGGCTGAACACCATCACTGAGGTCAAGAAGGAGGGAAGGTGTCACTTGGCAACCATATGATTTTGTTTATGATACAAATTATGACTGATAATGTACAAAGTTCACAAATAACATTGCAGGTGAGTGACCTGAAGCCCAACCCAGGCCCTTCTTTAGCAGAATGGTGCTTTCCAAGGAAGCGCTTTAGACTGACTTAGTGAGAGGCTATCGGTAACTGCTGTGAAAAGCAAAGCTGGGAGATCGCAGAGGGCAAAAGCCCAGGGCGAGACGGAAGCTGGCTTGCCAAGGCGATGCAGACTTCCGCTGTGAAAAGCAGAACGGGTCAGAGGCATCTAACTCAACCTCAAAAACGGTGACCAGCTTCAGCTGAAACACTTCTAGAGGCTGTGCCTCGCATCCCACAGGGAAACTCTCACTCCCTGGGATTAAGATCTCCGCAGCAGATTCTTGTTAAAATGCGTATGTAAGTAGGTCAGCTCATGAAGAGCAGAAGTCAGTAAGAAAAGAATCACTTACAGACTTCCAATGATTCAAAGGCAAAAGTTTCATAAGGTACAAAATGAAAATAGCGTGAGGTCAAACGCAGAAGTTTAGTCAATGGTTCTCATACTGGGGTACCCCGAGTAGACAAGTGCTGGGGAGTGTGAGGGCACCAGGCTGTAGCAGTCAATGTCAAAGGAAAAAAAACCTGGGAAGGGTAGTAAACAGCAAGGGCTGTAGACATATTTTATTTTTAAAAATTCATGGCTGGCTGGCATCTGCTGAGAAATCTTAATGTTTAGGATCAACAAGAAGCTGAAGGCAACGGAGTAAAACATACGAACAGAAGTGAGAACACAAGCCAGAGAGAATATATATTAATATAATTAATGCATTTAACATACCCACATCAATATATCCAATATATCTAATTTATTTTATTAAACATATTTAATATACTTAATACACATTAAAATGTTAAGTTTTAGTATAATTAATAAATCTGTATTAATATTTCAAAAATATATAATGTGGCTAATTATTATCTTTCATTTTCAATTAATATAACCAATAATTAGTATATCATTAAAATATTAACATATTAAAATGCTACATGTATATTTTTTTACAAAGGAAGGAACTGAATGGCAAGAGGAAATATACAAGGAGATAAAGGAAATGAACTCAGAAAAGTAAGGTTTAGAGGAGGAAAGAGACAGTGTATGTTTATCACAGCAATTACAGCAAAGAAAGCCTCACACCTACAATTTGACCTAAGAATGGCCCAACAATGTAAAAACAGAAAGCAAGTTTGTGAGCTGACAAGCACAGGAGGAAACGACTGCCCAAGTGTCATGTTCTTTCAACAGTTGAAGGTGTCTCATGCCTGCTGTTTGATTTGGTCCTCATATGATCCATTGTGATAATGAAGAAAGTCAGATACAGATAGGCTGCCAGGAGGCAACAGGCACAGTGGGTCAAAATCAGCTCCGACAACCAGAAAAGAGGAGCTGGGGGTTTCTGTATGGTTCAAGAGTTTTCATTCCTCTTTCTTGACTTTGTGCTAGAATAAAATTCCACAATGAGCCTTCTGACTCGACTCTGAGCAATGTTTTTCTTATCATTTCTCAGTTTCTGTTCCTACACTTCTTTTATTCCTCATCATCACTCAAGTCTGTGGGAAAAAGTACAAACTACAAAATGAAGATTCAATCAGACATTGGCTGCCTGAGCATCAAGATGCAGGAGTGAAACTTCGGCAGGTGTAGATGTCATAAATGGAAAGCTTTCTCTGCACTTCACAACACAGATCTAATCTTCAGTTACAGTGAACTGGCGCTGAAAGCAGGCTGCAAACTCAAACCGGCCTTCCAACAACCACCCTAAAACATTCACTGACTTCTCGGACAGTCTCTTCTGACTCTTCAAGCCCTTAAAGGCTTCCTCTCTTCTTTTTGTATGACCACCTGTTGTAAGAATAATGGACAGCCAGTGGCAAAAGACGACGCACAGTAAACAGCAGTTGAAACAAGGCTGACTCAGAGAATGCTAACATGATAACTAAGTAAATTCTGGACTAAACGACCACTGGCTGAACACATAATTAAAACAATGTCTAAAGTAAGTGGTTCAAAGAGGCAAAAACAAACCAGCACCAACCACCATGTTCAGGGAATCCCGTAATGTCATTACACACATCTTCACTTTCATGACCTACTTTTCACTTTCAAAAGATACGGGTTTTTACCTTGCTACCTGAGCTGACAAAGTCTAACAAAGTTTAGAGCTCATGAAAGGAATTCATGTAAGGATGGAAGCCCATCTTGGAGAGGGGTGCAGAGATGCACTTCCTGTACCAGGGCCAGATGGTCTTCCACACAGGACACAATACTGTGCGGGCTCAGAAAGGACCTCTGGGGCCAGAATGTGGAAACACTGGAATGCAGAGGAGAAGTCTGGGTTACTGTGAAATAGTGCTTTACACTTTCTAACATTATTCCTGAAAGTTGCAAAATTCTTTCCTTTATGAGTATGCATGGCATCTTGGGCGCTTCCCTTTGGTCCCCTACTTGGGTCCTTGCCACTCTTAGTTTTCTTGAAGGCTGGCCTGAATCACTTCATAAAATGCTACAAAAATAAAACCCAAACCAAACCATGCACTGCTGTAGGGATGAGAGAGACACTGAACAATACTTAGCTGGAGAATGGGACAATTAGCAACAGTTCTGGGGGACCTAGAGACAGAGAATCCGGTCCCAGCAGTCTTTGTTTTAAAGATTTTTATTTACTTGAGAGGCAGACAAACAGCTCCCATTTGCTGCTCTATTCCCAAATACCCACAATGGACTGTGTTAGGGCCAAAATTAGGCAGCAGAGACACAGCTATTTAAATCAGTACTGTCTCCCCTCAGGGTCTGCACTGGTGGGGAGTCAGGCATCTTCACTGCTGAGCTAAGAACCTTTCATAGTTACAGTGATCTTAACATTAGGGAGTTAAGATCTTAAATTGGAAGTGTTGGAGATACTGGAAATACCAAAGACTTGCTTCCTACTGTCAGATCTTCCAGAGCTGAGATGTTCTCATGGTTTCTTATCTAGCTACAAGGCAGAGTCATGAACAACGGATGAGAACAACAATAACAAGATTTCTGCTCAGTGTAACCAAAAACGTTCTAAAAAGCAAGGCTGTTCTTAATGGAACAGGCTGCTGGAAAAGTAATGGGCCCCCAAACACTGAACGTATCTAGGAAGAGAATGAAGTTAATGGTATTTTAGGAGGAATTCCTATATTTAAGCAGAAGGGTAAAACAGCAGACCATTACAGCTCTTTTCAAATGTAAGAGTTCCAAGAAATAGAACCACAGGTAAAGATTTATCAAAATGAAAAATGTTCTTACAATGAGAAAAAAATTATGCACACAAACAGAGCAGGCAGACAGTGAGAGGGTGAGAATGGAGCTGCTAGAGAGGGAGTTTTAAAAAATATTTTAATAGCTAGGACCGGGCTGGGCCAAAAACAGGAAGGAGCTGGACAAGCAAGCTGCGTCTCCTCCTGGATGGCAGGGATCCACCCACTCACGCCATCACCACTGCCTCTCAGGGCAGGAAGCTGGAGTCAGGAGCCAGAGCTGGGATTGAACCCAGACTCTCAGACACAGCACATGGAACTTAACTAGTGTCTTAACTGCTAGGCCATACCCAAAGAGAATGAAGGGGAGACGAAAACTGACATGGGAGTTATGTTACCTTTGCAATTTTCCCCATTCCATAAATGTCTGCTTTCTGGTCTTCAATATCCATAAAAGCAGTCTCAATTCTGCTGAGAGTCTGTTCATGGTTACTGCAAGTATCTGGGAGTCCTTCAGGAAAGTAGAACCGTGGAATGTTTGCGGACAATGGCGCATTCACAACATGATTCACGCGGGGAGCAGGGGACACAGGTCGGGGACTACTTGGGAAGGTGGCTGGAGATGGAAGTGGTGTTCCAGGTTTCTTTTCTGGCTTATTTTGAATCTGGAAAGAAAATGTGATTATGAGACAAAAATTTAAACAATATATAATTCTGAGATTATCTATCATTAATAGGAAGTGAGTATAGATACAGGAAGTGAGAATCAGGAACAGTAAAAACGAAGGCCTCACATGGTAGGCAGGTTTCTAGCAAGTGTTCACCCATACTGAATAAATACATTAATTACTGGTTCACACTTCAGTTAATATGGATTTATGTTTCTTTAAAGACTTATTTATTTGAAAGTCATAGAGATTATGCACCGTTGGCTCCCCAAAAGGCCACAGTGGCCAGGGCTGGGCTGGCCTGCATGGGTGATTCAGGCATTCAAGCACTTGGGGCCACCTCCACTGCTTTCCTCAGCACTGACAGGGAGAGTTGGACTGGATGTGAAGCAGCCTTACTGGGGGCCAGTGTCGCAGGGGATGGCTATGCCTACCATACTGCAACCCAGGCCCCTTGATTTAGGTTTTAAAAATTCTATACAGTATATTTTCTTATCAGGCACTTGCCATATTTAAGGAAAACATTTAAATGGAGACATAAAATTGTACATATTTATGAGATACCATGATGTTTTAATACTTGTATATATTTTGCAATGCTCAAAATACAGTGAATATAACACAAACACTTAGAATTTCTTTGTAGTGAAAATAATTAAAACCCCTTCTTCTAGTTTTTTGGAAAGGAACAGTACATTACCATTATCCATAGTCATCCAACTATGTAACAGGCCAGAGCTTTCAAGTGTCTCTCAAAAGAATAACGTCACCTGACGCATTAAAGATCTCCAGCAAGCATGCCCCACACGGGGACCCTGGGGTGCTTGGGAGGGTGGGGTGCCTGGGACCCTGGGGTGCTTGGGAAGGTGGGTGTGGTTTCTCCCTTTGTCTCTCCCCTTCCCCCAGATACAAGGAAAAAAGACAATGTGGAAACAACGGTCTTACCCACTTTCCTGTAGCCCTTGACCCTTTGAGCCCTAATCAACTATGTAAGATCATCAAGAAAAAAACCCAAAAACCTCAAAGTGTACTGTAGTCTGATGAAACTAGATAAGGAGATCTTTTTTTACTTTTTTTTTTTTTTTAAGATTTATTTATTTTTGGCCCCAGAGCAGTAGCCTAGGTGGCTGAAGCCCTCGCCTTGCATGCATAGAGATCCCATTTGGGTGTTGGTATCCTGGCTGCTCCAGTTCCTTTCCAGCTCCCTGTTTGAGGTCTGGGAAAGCAGTACAAGATGACCTAAAAGCCTTGGGACCCTGCAACTGCATGGGAGACCTGGAAAAGGCTCCTGGTTCCTGGCTTTGGATAAGAGCTCAGCTCTGAGCAGTGTGGTCACTTGGGGAGTGAATCAGTGGATGGAAGATCTTTCTTTCTGTCCTCCTCTCTGTAAATTTGACTTTCTAATAAAAATAAATACATTTATCTATTTATATCAGAACGGCAAATCTACAGAAAGGAAAAGCAGAGAGAATGATCTTCCATCCGCTGGTTCACTCCCCAAAGCATGTCAACAGCCGGAGCTGAGCTGATCCTAAGCCAGGGGTTTCTTCTGGGTCTCCCATGTGGGTACAAAGTCCCAAGGCTTTGGGCCATCCTTTGCTGCTTTCCCAGACCACAAGCAGGGAGCTGGACAGGAAGTGGAGCAATCGGGATACCAACACCCATATGGGATCCAGCACATGCAAGATGAGGAATTCAGCCACTAGGCTACCACGCCTGGCCCTTTCTGTGAATTTCTCTGTCCTTCAGTAATAAAAAACAAGTTCTTTCTAAAGATACAGATCCAAAACCTATTTGAGAGGTGGGGGCTCCTTTAACTTTCTTCCCCAGTTTGATTTTGCTAAATCCATGATAACCCTGATGCTGAAGAAATTTTTGTCAAAATTAAGGCAGTTAGTTCCAGAAGGCTCTTTGGATGATTTGCTTGTTACAGGGCATGCCATTTCCCTGCACCCCCAAAATAAAAATTCATCTAATTGTTATTATATTCTAACCTTCAGGCACCACAGTCAGTGATTTTATCGCAAGCAAACTTCTTTTACATGTATGAGCTCACCTACAGCGTATATCCTTATTCCAAAAAGCACCTGACTGGCACAACAGAGACCTTCAAAATGACAGCAAAATGTACAGGAGGGTTAGGGAAGCAATGGCAGCGGGGGAATGCTGGCAGCAGCGACATCACCCGTGATTACTTACGGGGCGGTACACTTTAACCAATGAAGACTAGGTTTAGTTCTGAGATTTCTAGCAGAAAAAGCAAAAAGAATGCATGAAGATTTCCAGGGCTCTTAATTAAAAATCAATCTCTCAAGGTTCATGAGCATCATACTGTATTACCAGATGCTACACAAAGCATGAATGATAAATGTGATTATCTGAATCTAATTAAAATTCACTGTGAACATAAAGTATCATTCAAATGCTTTTTAAAAAGATTTACTTATTTTTATTGGGAAGGCAGATTTACAGACAGAAAGATCTTCTGTCTACTGGCTCATTCCCCAAGTGGCCACAATGGCCGGAGGTGAACCGATCTGAAACCAGGAGCTGTGTCTACCAAGAGCGTGCAGGGTCCCAAGGCTTTGGGCTGTCCTAGGTCGCTTTCCCAGGCCACAAGCAGGGAGCTGGATGGGAAGTGTGCAGCCGGGACACAATCGGACACCTATATGGGATTCTAGCATGTGCAAGGTGAGGATTTAGCCATTGAGAATTGTGCCAGGTCCAATGTTCTTTCATAAACTATCCTCATGCCATCCATAAAGTTTGAACAATGATTCATATAAAGTAATAGTCAAAGAAGAAAAAGCAAAGGGAAGTGATGACCATGAAAACGTTAGAAAACAGTCACAACTTAAGAGTGGGACCTCAAGAAATTACTTAATGTGTTAGTATTTCAGTAATAAGGGGCCATGAACTTCAGTAAAGAGTTGTTGGAACTCTGCCTGTACTGCAGGCATCCCACACATGCACTGGTTGGAGTCCCGGGTGCTCCACTTTCAATCAGCATCCCCCTAATGACCTGGAGAAACGCTGGAATATGCCCAAGTGTCTGAGACCCTACACCCATGTGGGAGACCTGGAAGAGCTTCCTGGCTGCCTTTGGTCTGGACCCAGCTGTAGCTGTTGCGGTCATTTGGGGAGTGAATCAGTGCACGGAAGATATTTCTTATCTCTCTTTCCCTCTCTGTCTCTATCCTCTTTCAAATAAAAATAAATAAATTAAAAAAAACACACAAGAATCATTTCTGGAGCCAGTGCCTGGTGTAGTAGGCTAAACTGCCACCTCTGGCTCTGGCACCCATACGGGCACTTTTTCACGTCCTCACTCCTCTACTTCTGATCTGGCTCCCTGCTGATGGCCTGGGAAAGCAGCTGAAGACGGTCCAAGTCCTTGGGCCCCTACACCCATGTGGTAGACTAGGAAGAAGCTCCTGGGTCTTGGTTTTGGATTGGCTGTTGAGGCCATGTGGGGAGTGAATCAGTGTATGGAAGATTACTCTGTCTCTTCTGCTACTTTCCAAATAAAGGAAAAATGGTTAAATTTTTTCCAGTAATGAAAAACAGAAATGATAGCACTTGCTTCCTATAAGTTTTAAGTATGAAAATAAGTTATATGATGTATCCTAGCTAAATAAAGGTTAAGAACAGTGCTCTTTCTATTAATAAAAAATATATATTAAAAAAATAAAGAACAGGGCCCAGCGTGGAGGACTAGTGGCTAAAGTCCTTGCCTTGAATGCTCCAGGATCCCATATGGACACTGGTTCTAATACCGGCAGCTCCACTTCCCATCCAGCTCTCTGCCTGTGACCTGGGAAAGCAGGCGAGGATGGCCCAAAGCCTTGGAACCCTGTACCCGCGTGGGAGACCCAGAAGAGCTCCTGGCTCCTGGCTTCAGATAGGCGCAGCACCAGCCACTGCGGTCACCTGTGGAGTGAACCATCGGACAGAAGAGTTTCCTCTCTGCCTCTCCTCCTCTATGTATATCTGCCTTCCCAATAAAAATGAAAAATAAATCTTAAAACAGGGGCCGACACCGTGGCATAGTCTCTGCCTGAAGTGCCGGCATCCCACACTGGGATGTGTCACTTGTGATCCAGCTGCCTGCTTTTGGAAGACGGCTCAAGGCCTTGGGTTGCTGCACACACGTGGGGGAGACAGAGCAAGCTCCTGGCTCCTGGCTTTGGACTGATCCAACTCTGGCCACTGCAGCCATTTGGGAAGTGAACCAGTGGCTAGAAGATCTTTCTCTGTTTATCCTTCTCTCTTTAGCTCTGCCTTTCACACAAAAATAAATAAATAAATCTTAAAATAAAAAAAGTACAGTGCTTGCCCAGATCTGCCCTCAAGTAGGAAAATGAATGACAAGGCCAAGAGTTGGAGCTCTCAAAAGATTACATCCAGCATAACTCAGCATGTTTGTTCAGACTCAAAAATAAAAAGTCATTTATGGGGCTAACAAACTGGCACAGATGCATCCCATATTGCAGCTGGTTTGTGTCCCGCTGTTCCACGTCTGATCCGGCTCCGTGCTAATGCGCCCGGGCGAGCAGCAGCAGGTGGCCCATGTGGGGCATCTAGAAGATCCTGGCCGAGCCCTTGCCATTGGTCCGTTTGGGGAGTGAACTAGCAAATGGAAGATCGAGCTCTCCCTCTCTGATTGTGCCTTTCAAATGAACAGAATATTTTAAAAATTAAATAATTATTTGCATACTCGGTCACTTACAATTTAAAGTTTAAAAATCACTTTTAACTAATTAATAAAACTATTTTAAGTAAATGTCTCTCTGCCTTAATGTTAAATCTGAAAATATTAGTACCTAATCCCATGAGTCAACAGTAGTAGAATTCTAAAATAAGGCACAGAATTCTACAGGGGCTTTACCTGTGTCACTCTGTTAGTGTTATTTCCTTTCTATCATTTGCATAGAAAAAGATTTGTGAGATTACAAGAAGCATTTATCAAAACTCTTTTTTTGATTTTCCCAAAATGC